CCATTGTTCCCGATCTTTTTCTTTGGTATTGCTAAGAGTATAACTTTGAACATCTATACCAGCTCTGCAGTGATGAGTATAAGAATATCCACAACAACATCTATAATGTTAATAATTATTTAATGATATGTTTATTAGAATAAAATTTGAAAATGAAGAAATTAAATGTATTTAAATAATAAAGAGATTAGATGCATTTAAGTACAAATAAATTTCAAAAATTAAAACAAATGAAAAATTTTTTCAGAATATATAAAACAAAATATTATAGAATATTTTTATATATAATTTTATTTTATTTACTCTATTGCATCTAATCACTTTTTTCAGTAAAAAAGAATTAACATAAATCAATTCAATATATAGTCTAATTATATGCTAATTATACTACAGAAATAAAAATTCGAATATTTTATATACAATAATTTTTAATATAAATAATATTAATATTATTTTTTAATAAATTTGACAAAATAATTATCTAAATAAACTATAAAATATAATATTATCTATATAAATATAATAATTCTATAATTACTTGATTATTTAATTGAATAATGTTGAATATGAATATGAATTTAAAAGAAAAAAAGGTGTATTATAAAAAGCAATAAATAAAATAAATTAATAAATAAAATTTTATCAATTAAATTAAAAAGAAGAAGCAATTTAATAAATATATAATGTAATTTTACTGCAAATTTTATAATATATATTATAAAATCTTAAAATATAATAACTCTTTCTGGTACAAACCATTATTGGTGAGAACTATATAGAATGCATGTAATGTATCAGTATTATTAATAACTACTTCATGTTATAAAAAGAAATATATAAATTATTTTCTTTTTAAAGCAGAAATATATTTAATTTAAAAATATATATTTGCAGAAGCAATATTAAATATTTTTAATAAATCTATATTCCTTTTCTTTTTATGAAAGGATGCAAGATTCCCAATCGCAACAAAACCCACAATGAACTCTCACCTGGAAGTGGTAATCACATCATATTCAGCATTCTTATCTCCTTTTACTTGCATAAACCTATAAATGGAATGAAAGAAAGAAAAGTAAATGAAAAGAAAATGAACATAAAGAATTATGTTAGTAATGACCTGGAAAAATTTTGAATGAATTCAAATAACTTCAATAATAATTATCTAAATAATAAAATAACTTAATTATAAACATTATGTATAAAAGAGAAAAGAAAAAAGAAAAGCATATTTAAAAATAGAAATTGAAAAATAGAATTTTTAAAATATAAAATTAAAATTACAAATCAAAGATCATCATTATTATAATTATTCTGCTTATATTGCCTCTGCAAAAATATTATTAATTTAAAAAAATATATATATATATATTTTTTTTTTTATATCATTTTGCAAATCTGATGAGAAAATATTTTTAACAAAAGTATTTAATTTATAATAAATTGTAATAAAAATCCATTGCCTATATTCAATCTTTTATATTTATATTATAATTATTATTATTTAGAAATTATAAATTATAATTAATTTAATGTTAAAAAACTAAATTTTACAAATTAATATTTCCATGAAATCAATCTAAATTTTTTAATTTAAAATTATTTTAAAATTATATTATAAATCATTAAACTCATCTTAATATCATCTAAAATTCTGTAAAATCAAAAATACATAATACTTTTTAAAAATTTCAAAATGATTTTGATTTTTTATTTCGAAAAAAAGATTTTTAAAATTTATATTATTGCAATTACTTTTTTTTAAAACATTTTTTTATCAGATTATTAGAGAAATTTGAAAAATCAAAGTCTGAAATTATTTCAAACTCTTTATATATCAATGTATAACAATTATATTTAACAAAAGAATAAATAAATGCATAAAAATGTGTATGATCATATATATATAAATATCAAGGATGATATACATTAAAAAATAATTTATTCAAACTACTTTATAAAAATAATAAATTTAAAATTTATAAAAAAATTATAATCTCTAATAATTTAAATCAATGTAATGTTTAGCATATATTTGACATTATAAATATGGAAATGATAATAAATATAAATATAAAATAATTTATTTTATTAAAATATTTAAAAAATAAAAAAGTCATGAATACTACATACTTGTGTTCATCATCTGCACTTGGAATAAATTTTGAACATTCTCTTTTTTGAAAAGTTGCCTCTATCCAACTGCGTTCAGTTGCCTATAATGTATTTAAATGATTTATTTTCAAATATGAAATAATACATATTATATATCAATGTAATGTTAGCATATAAAAATGTAATATTTGATTAAAATATAATTGATAATGTGTCAAAGGAATGAATAAAAAATTTTATATTAAATGAGAGGAAGAAAATAAAAAAAATAAATCATGATATACCTTTGCCTTTTTTCTCTTCATTTTAGGAGTACTGGCTCCACAAATAATACTTCCAATTGCCATCTTGATATATACATGCATTCACCTTAACATTAACCAATATACTAACTAAAAAGATAATATCAAACAGAACTAATAGATAGATAATATCAAACAGAAATACAAATCAAGAAAATTAATAATGGAATAAGATAATATCTATTATATATTTCTATTTTTATATTTAAAATTTTGATTTTTTATACAATAATTTAAAAAATTAAAATAAAATGTTAAAAATATAACAATAGTATATAATAGTAAAATATAAAACAAAAAATTATATAATTTAAATTGTTAAATTTGTAATATGTTTATAATAAATTAGATTATATTATAAATTAATTAGCTATTAATTATAATTACAATATTTACAATTTAAATGATAAATCACAAGAACATTATATATATTAATATATAACAATTACATAATAAAAAAATATAATTTCTAGAACATTGAATAGTTAATAGTTAATAAAAGATGTTATATTTAAAGAAACTGACAAGATATATATACAATAAAGATAAGATAACTGATATAGATAAGAAAAATTTAAATATTCTCATTCTTGAAATATATACTTTTATGCAAAGCTTATTAATAAAAACAATTTTTAATATAACTTATATTTATTTTTTGACAAATTATGTAAATAAAATAATAATTTTATAAATAAAAAATTATGATATTATTAAATTATTATTAAAGATTATGATATTATTAAATTTAAGATCAGAGAAAAGGCAATAAGTATGCTGTTTGAAATTATATTTTAGGTAAAAAACTAAAATAATATCATTTATAAAGAAGAAGGAATCGTGATAGAATGAAATGAATTTTAATATAATGTTATAATATATTATAATATATTATACTCACCATTCGACAACTTTTGGTTTTATCTATCATATCTACATAGAACTGCATGAACTATGTGTGTTTGAGTTTAACAAAATAATTAATATTGCAATTCAAAAATAGAGACTGTGATTAGTAACTATTCATAAATATTTAACTTATATAGATAAATAAGATTTATCTGAAAAAAAAATCATAGAATTATTTAAATAATTAAATGTAAATCTATATCAATAAAAATATTGATGATAATATTGTAATATATTCTATTTATCATAAATTTAATGATATAGATTTATTATAAATATTATTAAATCGATTTTAATTCATTATACAATATTACGTTTTTATTATTTCATATAGAAATAAGGAATTTAATTAAAATAGTACTTATTACAATTTAAATTTCAAATAGAAATTTCAATAAAAAAAATTAAAACTTAAATAATAATCGAATGATTATTGTAATGATTAATTGTAAACGTAACAATTTAAAATCGGCGGGAAAACTCGTGATTTGTCATGTGTTTCTAAATAAGTTAACCTGGATACAATTGTTGAATTAAATTCTTTGATAAATGAATATAACTTTTCTTGAATGAAAAATAATGCAATTATTAATAAGTACATAGGAAATATTAAAAATATTTAATATCAAATATAACACTACGACACTAATTTATACATACCTTTAAAGTATACGAATGAATTTTCAAGTAATTGAATTCATCGTGTATGAAATATTGAAAATGCAAGAAAATTACAATTCACATGCATTTGTAATTATTTTGCAACACTTTTTGTGTTTCATATGCGTGTTTTTTATGTCACCCAAATTAACTGTTCAGTATTTATAAATAGTTTGCATCTTTTTTACATTATTGGACGTTTTATTAATTAAATCTACGTTTTGAAACGTAATAAAATGTTAATAAAATTCTAAAGAAAATATGTGAAAATAGTGAAATATCTTATACAGAAAATTTGTTCCATTATTCGCGTATCATCCCTTGGAAATATCGAGCTTGCTCCCCTGCATCATTACTGACAAAGTAGGCCAAGAACAAGGTTAACTCTAACATAGACTCGAAAATCATCGAATATCAGCAGTAGTATCAACTGCAAAATTCAAAAATTTGCATACCTAACAAGAATTAATTATAATGAATCATTCAATTTTATTTATTGCAATTATTTTAACATTTAATATGATGTAATATTCTTATTTTTTAATTATAAGGTATGATTCATCAATAGAATACGATTTTAATTAAAATGACCTCAAGATTTATTAACGTTGTTTCTATTAAAGAAATAGACATATATATATATATATAAATTATATATATATAATATATATACAAATTATTAATATATATATATATATATATATATATATAAAATATAAATAAATTTTAAATATATAATTATAGTTATATATTTATATAATAAGTTTTAATAAGTTTTAAATTATACAATTAATAATTCATATATGTTTATTATTTTATAATAAATATATTATAAAAAATATATTGCTATTTTTTTATTAGATTTATTAATGTATATTAATTTATCTGTAATTAATTAAATTTAAATACATTAAAATTTTTTACATATTTTTAAGTAATGAATTTTCAAATTATAATTTTTAATAAAAAATAAACTTGTTATAAAAGGAGTTTAGAAAATGAAAACTATTCTAGTTTTGTTTTTTAAAAATAATAAAATTATTTATGAATTTTTTATTTATTATGCTATATTTACAATAAATGTTCACAATAATATAGTGAAAATATAAAAACAAAAATATTTATTCTGGTTTTTCAGGACACGATACTTTAGATTTATTAGATGATTCTGATTCTGTTTTATTAGCTCTATTTGATCGAAGAACTGCACCTGGACTGGGATATGGTCTCATTTGATAAAGTGGTCCTGAAGCAGTTGTATCTGCTCCTGTTTTAGCTTCATTGTGTCTTGCTAAACCATCAGACCATTTTCCTCTATAAAAAAAAATTTTAAATTCGATGTTTTATACTTAAATATATAAATTATTAAAAAATATTACCGTGGAATATCACTATATGATGCTGGATCCATAGGATCCAAGGTCCTATCTTTTTTTTCTTTACTCTCGGATCTTTCTAATCTTTGATTTCTTTTAATATCTGCTGATTTATGTCTTGATCTATTTTCTGGTTTCTTATCCTTTTTCATATCTAATTCATCTACCTAAAAAAATTAAATAATTATTTATAATAATAATTAAAATATATTAATGATATTAAATTTTGAAAAGTTATTACTAACTTCCATTGGTTCTTGTTCACTACCACTGTCATCACTTGATATATTATCATCTTGATCTGCTGCTTTGAGATGTAATTCTTCCCTTAATTGAGAAGCTGGTTGAGATATTTGACATTTTGGATGACTTGGTGGTAGCCAAGATACTAAATCAGATGACCAATCCCAATAATAATGTTGACCCCTATTGGTAAATTAAATATTAAATGCATATTAAATATAAATATTTAAAAAAAAAAATTGATACTAACGATCCAGGATCATAAACAGCTTTCCATGTTTCTGGTAAAGGATATCTTTGTATTAATTTTATTTGTTTCTTTAAATATTTATCAGAAGGTTGTACATGTCCAAGACCCCATAATTCTTTGCATTTTTTTGTACATTCATGATAAATATTATATTTATTTGGACAACCACTATATCCCTAAAATTAGAAGTTATTTAGAAATTAAATTTAAAAATTATTATTAAACTACATTATAACAATATTATATAATTAAAGATAATTATTATTTATTATTAATATTATTTACCACTGTGCAATAATAATAAATTTTTTTCAAAATATTTACCATAAATTTTTGTGATATATCAATTTGATTAATATCATCTTTTGTGCTATCATAATCTTCAGCTATTACTTCTTCATGTATCTTTTTCCTTGATTCTTTTTTTGATTCTAAAAATATTTTATGATATAAAATTTTTATTTATTTCACAATTGTTTAATTAATTTATTTATAAAGGAACAAAATTGTTATTTATTTTACACAAATAAGATTATACCATGTTTTTCTGATCCAGAAATGAGACCTCTTTTAGCAAGTCGTGCAGCTAATGCAGCTGGAAGTGGCATTTTATAATCTTAATATTTTTGCACTTTCTTTTTTCAATAGTCTTGATATAAAAATATTTACACACTTATGAATAGAATAATTGACTTATTTGAATTTTAATATATAATTTCGTAAATATATGTTATCAATCAACTGATATTTAATAGCTAAATAATCTTATGATATTTGGCACAAACGAGATATAGAATAGACGTAAAATCAACTATATTTTCTCGTTTCATATTTTAGGATCAGAATGCTCCAAAGAATCAAAATGCATTATTTTAATATCATACTCAACTTATCGATTAGAATAAGATTATGACGTTACTAATGTTAGAATTAAAACGAAATTTTAATATGACATTATAAATAATTTAAAATAGATTTCTAAATAAATATATCTTATAAATATAAACAAAATATAGAATTTTATAAAATGTATTTATTTTTATAAAAATTAAAAATATAAATAGTAATTTTGCATAAAAAGTATTATGCTTTTAATTTTTTTATATTTTTTATATTTCTAGACGAAATACATAGTGTCTAGTGCCATCTTTTGAGTATTAGCGATATCTTTTTAAAAATAAAGTAAAATAAAAATTGAGGATTAGAAGAATTAGGATCATCTTTTGAATATCAAAAACTTTGAATATCAAAAACAAAAAATTTTTTAAAAAAATTTTAAAATATTCAAGAAATGATACTAATCTTTAATTCTGTCTCTATTCTACTCTAATAAACTTTAACTTCTAGAACACTAAAAATCTATTATATTTTCGATTTTATATTAAAAGAATATAATCAGATAAAAGATATAAAATTAAATTTGTAAAATTAAATTTTTTTTCAAATTAATTTTGTATTAAGAGTTTATATAATCGAACAAAAGATAGCATGCAAAATTTTTCCAGAAATTTCGAGAAAGAAATTTTCATGATATCAAAATCTATTTAATTGCTTACATTATTTATAATTGCTGCCAGAATAAGTATCAGAAATTCACAATCAGATTTTGGATTGATAATGATAGAATGACATGAAAATGAAACTCTAAACTCTAAGAATTTGAACCATAAAAATACATCGCATAATTAATCTATCTTGTATGTAGTTTGTGCCCTGATTACTATATACATATATATATATATATATATATATTAAGTATATATGTACGAAAATATTACGAAAAAGATATTTTTAATTTTATTTTTTTTAGTAACTTTATTAACTTAGGTTAAATATTAAGTTAAATATATATATTTATGTTATATTATAAAAAAGATATTTTTAATTTTGTTTTCTTATAACTTTATTAATTGATTAATTAACTGCTAAGGTTAAATATATATGTTTTAATATGTTTCTAATTTTTTTGCGATTGATATTTAAAAATGTGGGATACAAAGTTCCCTAAAATATAAAGTCTGTTCTATTCTATAGTTTTATTTTTTTTCTATTGTAATCTCAAATTAAATTAAAATGTAAGATAAAGAATATAAAACAAAGAATACATGAATATAAAACAAATTTAGTATTTAATGCATCATTATATTTCAAAGTATGAGATTCAAAAATTAAATATAATTAATTTCGCATCATTTCTAACATTGATTTAATATAGGGATTAAATGATTTAAATATTATTAATAGTTGGTATTAAATTTGGGTGTTAAAGGAAAAATTATAATTTGATTTATAGATTTTTAGATTTATAGATAATAAATATATATATTAATCATATTATTATATACTAAATATATTATAAGTTATTAATTTATGAATTTATATTATATATAATCATATAATTTATTTATTATAATTTAATATAATTTAAATATTATCTAATTTATATTATATATTTAAATTAAACATGGAAAATTACTGACATTTCTTGAATCTTTTTTTTTTTAAACATTATTTAATTCAATATTTTATATTGATTGAAAATGACACTTAAAATTAATTTATCACATGATGAATCATGCAAATTGCTGTGAACGTAGAAAAATTCTATATTATATGTTTTTGATAATATTAATTATCTATTATTAAATTAAGTATTCATTAAATATTGTGTTTATTTTCAAAAATATAAATGGATTCAATGGATGAAGATATGTTTGCACTCAGCGATAATGAGTTACCAATATCAACTTCAAACTGTAATCCCGTAGAAGAGCATTTAATGAAACAATTGTCAGATGTGCAAACTCGAATCCAGAAAACAAAAAATGATATTAAAGAAATTCAAGATATGACAAAACATGCTTTAGAATCTTTATATAATCAAGCGTTATATGGAAGAAATATAATATTGGATTGTGATAGTGACGTGAGTTTATTATTTATTTATTATTTATTTAAAAAAAAATAAATTTTTTGAAAAATTCGGAAAAATACCTTTTTTTCGAAATATTACTATTATTTTTATATTCAATTATATCAATTATATATTAATTATATATATTATATACATAACTTAAAAAAAAATAATTTATATTAAAATTAACAATAAATTTTATATTTTAATATAATAGGAAATTATATAAAAAAAATATGATATATATTTATAATATTAATACAAATTTTAATAAATTTTAAAATATATTAAATTTTGTATAATTTGTAGTTATATACCATAGATGGTCAACCAGTGATAAAGAAGATAAAACATAAATTTGATTCCTGTGAATATATGGTAATAAAAAGCAATTGGAAGTATATTTTTTCTGACAAATGGGTTATTGGAATAGAACTAATGAACAATTCAGAAAAGTAAGTACATTATTTATGAATAAAATATAGAAACAAGTTTTGATTTTTAAGAAATACGTTAGTGATACATATTCATAAGAAATTTTTACAATAAATATTAATAACTTATTATTTTAAAAAATTATAAGTATTAAAAAAAGTAACAAAAATAATGTCTTACAAGTAAACACATCGATAAATATTTTATTATCAAAAATTATAGATATTCTATTTTATTTTGGACAACAAATTAAATATTTCTTATATATTATTATTTTATATTATATAGTTATATTATTATTACCTTATATTCTTAACTAATTAAATTAAATTATAATTAATTTATAATTTTATTCAAATAAGATGTTTTGTAATTTTATATATAATTTTTTTTTTTTTCATTTTTTATATTAATATATAATTATTGTCACGTTGTATTTATAACTTAAAATTATAAGGGATTAATTTATTATAGCATTTTTGTTATTTTTCAATTTTACAAACAATTTGATTTTATTGATAAAAAATATTTTAATAATTTGATTTTCATATTAAATATAAGTACTGTATAATAATTAAAACAATTATTAAATCTTTATATAAAAGCTGTTTCATCATAAAGATATAATTCTATTTAACGCAAAAATCTGTTTTAAAATATAAATAAGTAGTAAAAAACTCATAAATTTTTAAATATTTGCATTTGGAAGTTGCAAGTCTTATTAATTATTAATTACATCTTCTCGTGAGAATACTATTATTATCATTGGTACAATGATAATAATAACCATTTCAAAAACATTCATTAATATGTGTATACATATTTAGTGTTTACACATATATGTATATATATTTATTTACATATATAAAATTAGAGAAAACATATATTTTTTAAAATACACAAATATAAAGTTGATTAAATTTTTTTTCATTAAATTGAAATAATTTGGAATAAATTTTCTTTATATATATGTTACATTATATTTTTTGAAAATTATTTTTATATATTCTATTTAGAATGGAAAGTATTCTATTTCAAAATATTAAACTATTCAATGTTAAAGCACAAAAAATTAACAAAGTAAGCATTGCTCTTAATCATAAACATTTATGTACTAAAAAATTCATTGTTATATATATAACAATGTTAACATTGTTATATATATATTATATATATATTATAACATTGTTATATATATATAATGTTTAAGCAATGGAATATTTTTATATATATGAAACATTTAAAATCATTTTTACATTGATTTATAACAATTTACAAATACTTATTCGCCTTAGGCCTTAACAATTTAATATATCATAACACTTTATTTATTAAAAATTTAAATGCAGCAGTGTTTCGCATGATTATTGTTTATTCGAACAATTTTGGTATGTTTCTATTTTTCATCTTAACTCGTGAGATATTCTATCAAATATATTCGTTGTAATTGATATCATTTTGATATCGCTTTATATGATTTAAAAAAGATAAAATAGAAAGAAAAACAATTCAAACGCTAGTGCGTTTGTTATTTATCTATAAAATACTATCATTAATTTTTACAGATTAATACCGTGTTTTCATCTCTTCCAAGTGCTATATATTCATCGGGAGAATATCCAAAAAGCACAAAATCATATCTGAAATAAAATAGAAATAATAAGAAAATATAATAATAATAATAAGTATTATAAAATACTATAAGTATTAAAAATATTTTATATAAAAATATTATATAGTAAAATTATATAAAGTTTTTGAAGACATATTACCTAAACATCTCATAAAGATCTTTAATTTGAGATTTCGACAATTGAGCGAAATAATTCTTTATTACATCCTTCGTTTGAACACCTCTTGTAGGATTCTTCCATTCTGGCTTAATGATATGCCCTACATGGGCTTGTTTTATGAGATAATCTTGATCTTCCTTTAAAATTAGTAATTAGACATTCTTTTCAAAGTACAAGATGATCAATTTATTTAAAATTCTTCAAAGAATACTTACGTGGAGCGTTTCAAATTTAGCAATCACATCAAATCGCACTTGACATGGTGTGCAAAAAATCACAACTGGAGTCCAATGCATATCAAGCTCATTTCCAGCTTTCCATTGACATAATAACCACTGTACAAATTCTTCAAAAAGTGGATACCTTGGACCATGTCGTCCATTTGTCTTTGGATCCTATGCGATCATTTAAAAATAAAAAAATCATAAGAGAAAATTAATTAAATTAACAGAACAATAAAATTGAACTAAAGTAATCAAATTTAATAATAATAAATTCTTACCCTAGATCTATAGTTCCAAACAATATGAGCTCCAAGATTACTATGAAATGTATGTGGCAAGCTGTGCTCCAATTTATCTCTGTAAGCACTGAGCAATCTCTCAAACGGGTGCCTTACTATCAAAAAACTGATACTGTCATTTAGGAACTTGTTCAACTCATCTGCTGTATATCTGGGATATTTCTGCCTTGCTAAAGAAACAGGTACTGCTTTTGAGGCCTTTAAGAATTGCGGACTATATCTAAAAAATTTATAAATAAAATTTATTAATTGTTAATTTGATGAGCAATTCGTATAAAGGATATTTTAATATAATATTTTTTATATAATATTTTTTACCCCGCGAGTAGATTAAAATTATACATCCAAGAGGTAGAAGCTGCTTTGAAGACATTACACCATATTAAATGGTACTCTCTATTTACAAGAAATTCCCAAGCATTAGGTCTATGAAGAGAATCGTTTCCAAATCGATCTAAACCTTCTTTAGCGCATTTATCTGCCAAAAATTTCCTTCTTTCATACAATCGTTTTTCAGTTTCAGCGATTGCTGCTTCTTCCATCAATTTTTCCTCTGGTGTCAGATTTGAATCCTCCTATTGAGGACTTCTCATTAATATTCATGTTATACTATAATTTTATATAATTCTTCAAATACTCCAAAATTATATTTCTAATTCGGATTATTACATGAAGTTACATATATATTCTTATACTTCATTAAACATGATAAAAAAATTACATATCATTTTTATTTCTAGCGAATAAATTAAATTTTTAAATTCATTACTGCAAATATTTCAAAATAGCAATATTGAATATTCATGTATTTAAGATCATTGAAAATCTGAAAAATTTAGATATATATTATGAAAATCTAAAATTCAAAATTTATTCGAAAAATTTAAATACTTAAAAAATTTAAATATTCGAAAAATTCTACTAAAACTAAAAATATTTGAAAACTTCAGATATTTGAAAAAATTATAATTCTTGAAAAATATAATATTCTAAAAAAATTCAAATATTTAAATATTATGGGGAAGGGAAAAAGAATTTAGATATTTTAATATTTACTTTAATATTCATAATTTAAACTGTTTTGCATTAAATGCTCAAGTATTCATATTTAATTTGTTCTAATATTATTAGAGTTTTGAAATTTATATGAATAATTTGAATTAAATCACAAAATTGAATATATATTATGAAATTGAAATTAAATGTTTTCGTGAATACAATTCATTGCAAATTATAGAACTTCAGATATAGATAGTAACAATAATAGTCGGGAAAGAATAATCGATATTTAATTTATCGATGTAATTATCGTATTTAATACATATGGACAAAAAATCAATCAATATCATTTTTCATGTATTATGCGCAACTGCAATAACATTAGAAGAATAGATAAATGCATTACCTTGTTTATTTCAAATGAAATATAAAACTCATCTATATATAAAATCATTTCATGTCACATAAGATATTATGTAATCATTAAAATTGAATGCATGAAATATTAAAACTGTTTGTGAAAGGAAATTAAAAAACCGGTTTTCATTCAATCTTTTTCTATAAAATAAATAATTATTTTTTTTGTTTTTTTAAAATCTATATTTTATATTCTTTATTGTAAATTAATACATTCAAATTTATTGGAAATATGTGTTATTTAAAACATGTGTTATTTTTTTTTAATAAGTAATGTATATTTTAATAAAAAAATATTTTAAAGAATTTAAATAATTAAAAAAAAAATAAATTTCTTACTTTTTTCTTCCATATTTTTATAATGATTTTTAAATTTGGAACATTAACATCCTAAATTTAATCTAAATTTACATGAAATGAAATAATTAAACAATGAAGCGAATAATACAATAATAAAAAGTAATTAATAAGTAGATCATAAAACTGATTATCGTATAAATTATAATAGAACAATTCGAATTCTGAATGATATTCGTAAACTTTCAGTTAATTTTACAATTCTTAAATCGTTTTAAAATTCAAAGCTTGCCGCTACAAACCTGTTTTCTTTCAACTAACGTGCATGCGCTATGTGTGCCAACCATCTATCTGCATGCAAGGTTAATCCAATTTCCTAATTTCTGCAATTAATCAGAACACTCGCCGCTGCTTATTCAGTATGATTACGCGTTATACGCCTACTTGGCGCATTATAATCGAACAATCAGTACAGATTCCAAGCATAATTGTCTACATTCTAAAGACTTTTTATAAGTTTAAAGATTATGTATAGTAAAAATTCGATCAAAATTTTGAAATGTTTATAAAAAACTTTTTGATGTACTATATTAACTATAACATTAAAATTATTATATAATTTTAGATTAATAATTTATAATATATTATATAATTATCAATTTGCATTTAAAAATTTTTTTAAAATAAAATAAATTTAAAAATTTCAATTTTTAAATTTTTTCTAGTTTTTTTTTATATTTATATACCAGTAATGTTTCATGATTCATACATATTATTATTACTGGTAATTATATTTAATCTCAAGACATTGAAATCCGTCATTATATAATTGATATTTCATGAGGTTTTTACAATTTAAAGTAAATCCAATATGAGTTTTGAAACATCGTAAAGAATAAATAAAAATAAATTATAATGAAAAACAATTTTTTTTCATTTAAGAAAGAATTTCAATCTTAAATGATAATCAGTTTTAAATTAAAAATAATGGTGATATAAAAAGATATAAAAAAAAAGAGAATTTGTAGCATGAGCATTTAATTGTAAGATTTCTTAAAATCTGTGAAAATGTTTCAGAAACCTTAAAAACTCTTACATCATTACTTATAGAATACTTATGAGTTAAAACTAAAAAATAAACACTTAGATTAAGAATTACGTAAATTATTTAATTAATCACTTGTATGATTACATAATTTTTTAGATTATTGATAAAATTTTTTTGATTATCGATAATATTGAAGAATATTGAAAAATTGAATCGAATCGAAATTATTTATTATATTATATTATTTATATTGCATGTTTCTTTTTATTTATATTGATTTTTTAATTTCACAAAATATGAATGAATACTCAGAATTAGATCTATATCTTTTATTTTTTGTCTATTTAATTTCACTAGAATTTTTATTTGATCTATATTTCATTTAATACAATATTTGTACATCCAATTGTATAGAATAAAATAATTAGATATATTTGAATATTAAATTTTTCATTAAAAATTCTAGATTTATTTTAATATTAATTCTATCACTTTAATACTAGAGAAATGATTGAATTTATAAAGAATATTTTAAATTTATTAAAAATTAAATAAGAATAAGAATCAAATAAGAATAAAATTAAATAACTTATAAATTATTATTTAATCCAATTATTTTATCTTTAACTAGAACAATTTTAACTGTAAAAAAATTAAAATAAAATTTTTTGCAATATATTTAACACTTGAAAATTTTTTCGAACATTTTTATTTTTCTAAAATTCTTTCTCATCATCAATTGTGTTATTTTAATAAACAAAAAATTTTCTTTTTCTTTGAACAAACGATATGTATGATGTCATCAACAAAAAGACAAATTTCTAATGATCGAGAGAGAATGCAATGATCGTGGCTAGGCGGAAACACCGAATATAGAAATACTGTCTTCCGTTTATTGATTTCGGACTGGAAGCCGAATAGCTATTCCGACGCCGACGCCGTCGATGCGGTGAATATGGGCCACACGAGTGGTGCAGCGCACGCTGCACTACACCTCAATTTTGCATCTATCCATGTTCTTACGTATTTTCATAACTAATGCAATTTCAAAAATATCACAGAAAAATCAAGTACACAATTTGATAATTGAAAAATTGAAACATTGATAAAATAGATTTGAGAATGTTCAATTAAAGATTAGATAATATGAGTATAGATAGAACTATAGAAAAAATGACGATCTTATTAAGAAAGTATCGAAAAATAATAGATTTGAATATAAAAAAAATTCTTACTGTTAACTAATCACTAACGATCAGATCATATTACTGGATTCATAAAAATATATGAATTTGTATATATGTATAATATACACATTTCATTGCGGAAACTAGCGAATCTTTGGTGATAATGAATATACAAACGATTTAATCATTGCCACTAATTACATTAATTCAAATGCATTTGTTTACATCGCAGATAGCAATGTTTCAGCATTTGCATTTTTAATACGAAACATTATATATAATTTAATAATAATTACATATAATAATAATAATGAGCTTTGATACTATAGCTTAAGCTCCTTTAATCGATATTTTGTGAATAATCTTTTTTTCAACATATATTTTGTTAGAGAGTTCCTACTTTTGAGTTTTTAAGTCGACAAGCTTGGACGCCAAGTTTAATCGATTTTAGGTCATCAGTGATTTGCTAGCAATTAATCGACAGTGTATAATTAAGAGTAGAGCTTGATTAATTTTTGCAAAAATTCAAAGATTAAATATTTACTTTTAATTTAAGTAACTATATAGGATGTTTCATAAAAGTTATATAATATTATTGTAATATAATTTACAAGTAATCCGATTAATTTCCCTAAAAGTAAAATTAGTTTTATTTTAATTTTATTTTAATTAAAAAATTTTAAGTATTTTATTTTGATATAACTTTATGCTAACTACAAAAATTCATAATAAAAATAGAAATTTTTTTGTAAAATAAAAAAATTCTCAAATTATAAATAATATCATGATAATGAATCATAAATCGATTTTAATATCGAATAAATTACTCATTTATCTAACCTATAATTATCCAACAATCTATATACATTCCAGAGCGTAATTCTTGACGATTCGTATTTCAACTTTGTTTCATTTTAAGTCGATAACTTTTCCAATCACGACGAATCGATGTGCTTCTAGTTATCTATCCGTTGTTATCACTTGATTCTTGTTCATGAAATGATTCATACCTTAAAACGAAAAATTATATTAGTTCAAAAAGAGCAAAAAAATAATTTTATTAAAATAAAGATTTTAAAATTTTGTGAATTATGAAAATCATTGTTATTTCTAATAAAATAAATTTTATTAGAAAATATTACAGATCAAATATAATAATAATCTAATAATGGTTTCCATGTTCAAAACAATTTAGTGATTAATATAAAATAATTTTTTGTTTCTTTGATACGAATTTCATAATAAATTATTTGAAATGATGCTTATTTAGCTTGGTGCACTTGTCGTAACGAGGGACCCTGCACAAGGAGAATGATTACTCTCAATGACATTAAGAGCGATTGCAACACGCTTGCTAGTTCATAAGTATCTCACGGTGAACATCTAACTTTTCAAAAAGAAATTAATGATATTAATTTTCGATATGAAGCTACATATAATATCTAATATATATTTATAATTCTAAAAATATAAAGATATATAACAAAAATAAAAAAATCCTAAACTTTTTTTAATTAGAAAATAAAAAAAATGTTAAGTTTATTTAATTAATTAAAATTCATAATATATATATTTAGAATTTAGATAAATTTTTAAAAAAATTCTTTATAATCAAAGAACAGAATAAAAAGAAAATATTAAATTTTCAGGTATAAAGGATAAATGTAACAAGAAATAAATAATAAATGAAATTATTAAAAAATTAAAAACATAAAACTTTTATATTTAAACAGAAAAAAAATGAAAATGACGTGTAAGTTTCATTACAAAAATTTATAAAATCTTCACAAGATTTTAAGAAATATAAATTTTATTATAGAAGAAATACAAGATATCTTTACAACATGTTGGACTTCGAAAAAAACAAAAATGAAAAATGGAATTTTTTTCAATTTGCTTATGGATCATCTATTTTCAGCTAATATATTTTTCTTGTATATGATCGGTCAAACACGGAAAGTATTATAGACCGGTTCTAGTGGACCATCATCTGTATATGGGTATACATATTACGTAAGAAGATACTTCTGTGGCTCTTTGCTGTATCTGGTTGTATAACTTCCTTTGCTTATTACGCTTTCTCACTAACGAATGTAATTTTATGTAAATCGTTACGCGATCTATGTATTGTAGTTTAACACGTAAAATCAATCAAAAATACTTTAAGGATTAAAACTACGTTTTATGTGAACATAATAATATACTGCTTCTTTTCTAAAGTTGAAAACGATGTTTGCTTCTGTTATCGTACGTTAAGCAGGAAGTCGTGGAATTTTTTTAGATACTATTCGAAGCTTGTTTGGAAAGATAGATTTAACCCTTTGTAATGTCACGTGATTTGGGAAATCATGTAAAGATATCCATGTATCTTTTTTTTTTTTTAAATCCTGATTTATTTTCTCATCATTGTTCATTATGTTTTATAGCGATTTATCTATAACAATTGTAATTAATTTTTAAGTTTTAAATTATAAATTAAAATTGTACATTAAGCTTTAATGCATTGAATTTGAATATTTTACGTTTAACATTCACTTTCAAATTTGATCAAATCAAAATCAAATTTAGTTACTTCTATTATTATGTAAAATATTTTACATAAAAATTGTTAATTATATTCTATCTTTTTTTCAATGTTCAATCTTTATATGAATTACAGCAAATATAATTACAAAAATCTTTATTTAAATTCAATGTTCCAAGAAATAAATAAATAGAGTTAAAATGAATATTATATTTGAAACCGTCTGTGAGAATAAACCACGCAACGATGGTCGCACGGGATAGGAATTCAAAATTAAAACCGATACCGAGAATTGAGACCACACCGTGCAGAATCACGAAGATGATTTCTCGAAGCTGTTAGATAACTCTCTTCTTTTAAGCGCGAAAATGATAAAAGCACAATAATATATTAGAAACTTTTACAAAACGCTAATAAAAGAAGTAGAGAAGAGAAGTAAAAAATCATAAAAAAATGATAAAATAATAAGAGTCTATTATATTAAAATCCAGTCAAATTATCTGAATTGGAAAAATCAGCTATTCTAAAGTTAAATATTTATTACAATAATTGTAGGAAGGAATAATATGCAAATTATTAAAATTTTATTAAAAAAAAAAAAAAATCAAAATTCAGGAATATCATAAAAATACAGGAGAGCATAAAAATCAAAATATAATTTCAAAACTATCGATTTCTATTTTCTATCCACCTGATAAAAAAATATCAAATAAAATTGCAATCGTTCGTATCGGCAAGAAATCGATTTATATTGGTAAAGTAATTGTCGAGATTGAGGGGTAACTTTAACCATTCTTTGCATGCTTAAAGGGGTAGTATTGTACAATTGTAGGCAGCTACATTTGTGTGCCGCATTGCGCCTGGAAATCTGCCAATCTACGTTGCTTTACGTAAGACTGAAAACTGTTTCGATCTAACCACTCTATCGAAAGGGTAAAAAAGAGAAGAAATTTTTTTTTTCGAACAATCTTATATAGATTGATACAAGTATTGCAAAAAATTAATCTCCAAGAATTAATTCTCCAAGAATAAATTATAATGCATACAGAACGATATAACATTAAAAATAATTTTTCTCATATATATCAAAAAAAAAAAAAAGAAAATCAGAAAGAAATAACTTCATGATATATTTTTTTAAATTAGTAGAGTAAAAAATATATATATATTATGATAAATATATATATGATTTCATAAGAAAGTGGATGAAACGTTAATCTTTCTTTTCGATCATGAAATAACAGATATATAAGTAAAGATCATCCTCGTAGCATGTATGTATAAAAAAGTCGTCTAAATATTATACTTATGTTATTTTATTAAAATTTGTTTTTAAAAAGTAAACTAAAAAGTATCAATAAGATTGAAAAAAATATAATGGAATATAAGGTAGTAATAGTAAATCATCTTTTGCATAGTCATTCATATACATAGTACATAGAATTATATGTAAAGCATTGTTCAAAGAACATAAGTATTAATTACAACAACAATATCAAACATTATTCGAATAGAAATTTATTCAAATTTATAAATAACAGATGAAATTATATTCGTTATTCAATTTCTTAATTCTTTATTATTTGTCTTTTATTCATTTGTTGTAATAAACTAATAATATAAGAATCATACTTTTATTTCATTGATATGCGACTAAAAGTAGAAAAGAAATAAGAAAGATAAAAGATTATTAGCATTTGATTGTTGATAAAGATAAAGGATCAAGGATTGTTGGTAAATTTAATGATTTAAAATTCATAAATTTTTATATAAAAAATACATAAAATAAAAAAAACAAATATTAATTAGATAATGAAATACATACATTTTATTCTGTAATATAAATCTAATTAAGTAAGATCATCTTTTTCTAACATTAAACATTATTTTTTATAAAAATAAAAGAATATTTTTTCTGAAAGTGAAATCAACATAATTTTTCATTATTTCGAACAAAAACATAATTTTTAGTTATATTTGTAATAAGAACGATCGTTTCGTAGCTTTTTTACAATATTTGTTTTTTGAAAACTGATGTATTTAATTTTTTGGTACTCTGAATCCTAAACACGCGTGGAAAATTTTTTTCCAAGAACAAAAAAAATCCTTGGCCAATATATAAAAAATCATCACTCACCTCCAACAAAAGTCCTTGGTGCACATTGTTGTCGGCATCCTGGCTAGATAGAAGTAACACCAACAATGTCAAGATACCAGCAGCCAGCAGTGTTCGCCTAATCGCCGCGAACACATATCGTCGTAATGTCATCTTCTCTCGTTGTACGATTTTTCTTCTATATTCATATCGAACTGAAACAAGTGAATCGATTCCTATAGTACATTAATCAATTGAATCAAACATATTTATTATTAATCGATAAAAAAAAATTAAACATTTGCATTTAGATAAGTCTCATAATCTCATATAATACTATACAATCATAATTTCTAAGAAAATTTAATATTTTTTAACAAAATTAAAATATTTCATTAAAATTTTAATTATAAAATTTTACTTTAATAATATAACTCTTTTTTGTTCTGTATATTCTATATATGAACATATTTATACTATATTCCATTAGGCTTATATATATTGAAAAGAAGTTAGATAAAAAAATTATTATATTTAATACATATATATATTTTTTAATTATTTTTAATTTTCGAAAGTTTGAAATAAAAATTATAAATTTTTTTATTATACGAAAAATTAATTTTTTTAAATATCAAATATAATTCAAATGATACTTATAATTTATAAAAAATTTTATCAATCTGAATATAATATCGAATAATTGATTTGAATAATTATTGATCTTCTGCTCAATTTATAATTTTTCATTGAAAAAAAAATTCGTATAATAATAATAACAATAATATAAATATATATATTTTATTTTATTTAAATTATTGTATTTAAATAAATTCTATTTAATGAATAAATCTTAAAGAAATATTAAATTTGCTAATATAAACTTAAATATAAATAAATAATAATGAAATTGGTTCTACTTTTCTATAGTGTGAATGATTATAACTATTTCATTTTTCACAATTTGAATTAATTTATTCATTAGAAACATAAATTATATGTAATTTTTTTTACAAAATTATTTTCTACATTTTTCATAATTTTTTATAAAAAAAATAATTAGAATAAATTTAAAAAACCCTCAAATAAATAATAATGTGTCATATATTTATTGAAATAGAATATACATGATTAGTCATCAGCAATCACGTATTTTTTTCTTAAGGATACGATGTTGAAAAACCTATGTTGTACTAAAATGAAATAAAATTATAAAATTTTGTAAGATCACGAATAAAAAAAATAAATAACATAATTCTATCCGTATATAAAATAATAACTAAAATTTACACATATGCCATCAATTTACACATTTTAATTTCACAATAATGCTCTATAAATAAAATCTTCATAATATTTTTACATATCATATATGTAAAGAATTTTTTGATCTATTATCAAATGAATATAAATATATAATAATATAATAAATAATAATATAATATAATAATAAATATAATAAGTAATTCTATTTAATACATTTTCTACTATTCAATAGAATATTATATATCGATTACATTAATATTGATTAATATTTATATTAATATTAATATTAATATTATAAATTATATTATATAATAATAATATAATTATTATTAAATTGTTTTTTTTTCTATATAATATTATTAAAAAGAAAATAATGAAATAAATTACGTCTTATAAAAATATATATGTTTGCTTATTCAGCGAAGTTTCAAGGCCAATACAAAATAATACGTGCAATATTTATAAAGTAGAACATTAGATTTAAGAATCGATGGACGCTTTATTGAAAAGTTTGCATAGAAATACGAAAAATACGCACGCACACAGATAATTTTTTTTTAAACTTAATTTTATGTTTTTTTAAATTATGCTAGTAATATAACATAATGTTATACCAATCAATAATCATTAAATAATAAATATTTTATAAATAAATCATTAAATATTTTAATGATTCGTTAAACTTAGATATTTAATACTAATAAATAACATTTAAAAAAAGAAATAATAAGAAGTTATCAATTTTTGTCTATATATATANTATATATATATATATATATACAATCAGATGTTATCAATAGAATCATAAAAAGATTTCAATTTTTTAAACAGTGATATAATCAATGTATATATTTCCTATATCAAATAGATCAGAGAAAATCCCTTTCTACTTAATTAATGTCATAACTTAATGTCATATAATGATCATATTTTCTAGTTTATTTTGGTATATTTTCATGTTTATTTGTTTTGATACGTACTTGGCGTGGACATATATGCCCTAATATCAGGATTCAACGATGCATCTATTGCATCCTCTGCAAGATCAACAGTTCTCTTTGATTTGACTGAATCTTGTATAAACGAAAACAAAATATACTGTGAATCGAAACACGATTATATTAGTATATTCTTTAAATTATAAATTCGCAAAACACACGTGACACAACTGATTTATTGAATGAAAACTATAGACACCACACGATCACGGCGGCATCCTGCAGATTACTGAAAAGAAGTATACACTGTTTCGTATGCTTCCATGCGTGCGTCGTCTGCTACTAACCAATTCGTTCGTAGATACTGATTGGTTAATATTTTCGCGGGTCGATTTGCCTGGATGATATCTGCGCAAACGCAATACTGAAATCATCTGTACAACTGTACAGACTTCCTTTATTTATGCTTCTTTGAATACGATTTTTATTGTTAAATATTGAATAATAAGTAACTATACTTCTAATTTTTATATCTAAATCGATTGACATATCACAAAAATTTTTTTGAAATATGAAATATTATATATTATATCATATACTAATATTATAGAATTAATATTGTAGGATGAGAATAAAATTCTAAAATTATAAATTAAAAAATAATAAATATTTTCAAAATGAAAATAATATTACGTCAATTGAAATTCATATTAATTATTTTTAATTCATTTTCTTAATTCTTAATAAATATCAGTAAAACATTATTAACAATATTATCCATAAAAAAATATATTTATATATTTATAAATAATATAAAGTTTTTAACTTTATTTCAGAACGTTAAGTAATCCTCAGATTAACGTATCTCTTAAGGATAACGATGAACTTTGTGGCATATCGATGTTTTGGAAATTAGTTAATGAAATATTTTCATATCGAATTGATAAAATTCAACCGAATAGTTATGTTATGGCTACCGTTGTTCTCAATATACCAAAATTTGATAAAAATCCTTTCTGTGATGTGTATGGTACAATTTCATACAAAATCGAAGAAAATGAATATCAAATTCCAATACCTGTTATTCGTCTTACGATTGAGGATACTATTGATAACAATTATCAAGTTAAATTTTTAACCAAGAGGAATCATTTTCAAGTAAAAACGAAAGATATTTTGCCTATGATTTTAGCTTTAAGAAGTACATCAGTGGAGAAAATCATTGATGTACAAATCAAAAGAATACCTAAAAAAGAGAAAGAATTTTTGACATTTTTGAAAGAAAAATCTTTCGAAGCAATTTTCGAAAATATTTATATCGTACAAACGACTAGTTGTCTAATGTATTGTTTGATCGAGATACTGCCTATTATCGAAGGAGAAGAAAAATTAAGAATTTCTTCAAAGTAAAAACAATATTTAATTAAATTTCAATTTTCATTAAAATATGATTTGAATACAAAATTTTTATTATAATTTCGAAATTTATACATATTTACAGATCTAACCATCAAATGAATATAATATTACGATTTTTAAGAGATCATTTTTCGGACATAATTATTGAAGAAGATGTTAATCTTCGTGCTGCCATGGTTCTTATGAATGAATTAAAATTATATCTTGAGGACACGAGCACCGCCGAACGGCAAATGGCGAGAATAAGAACTGACCTACTTATCCCATGAACACGGTAAAACAGATTTTGTTCATTTATTATCTTGATCTGGATATTTAAAATTATTTGAAACATTCATAATAAATTAAAATAAATTAATCCAACTATAATAAATTAAAATAAATTCAATTTTTTTCTCTTTTATTAAAGTTTTATTTTATTTTCTTTTATTTATGTAGATATAATTTGCATATAAGTTTTTTACTATATAGATTTTTGTAATAGATTATTATTTATTCAGGAATTGCAGTCAAATTGAATAGTATCCAAGATTTTCGAATTATATTTATCTCACTCCTAGCTCTTGCTCCTAGACAATAATATCAGGATAACATGGCATAGGTAGTAGCTTTGTAACTATCGAGATCCCACTGAAAACCGGTTTACTTACTATATAGTAAGTACTCTTCAATCTAACTTGCATGAGTATAGAGTTAATACAAAATCATATTGTATCAATAAATAATTTTAATAAAAATATTAATTGTATAATTTATTTCAAATATATTAAGATTTATATATTTTGTATCATTATCTATTTTTATTGATTATTTGTCTATTTTTATTTAATACTTTAATTATATAAAATATTTTATTTTTCGCACATGTATATTTAATAAATGTTATTAAAATAATTATGAAAATAAAAACAATTAAATATATATATTTAATTTAATTTAAATAATATTTTTATTTCTAAAGGATTTAAATCAGTTTAAAATGTACTTTTCTGTTTTCTTTTTCTTTTTTGTTTATATAATGATAAGATAATACAAAATTTTTCATTCGTGATCGTTTCATGGGAATGATCCTTGTTTAAGTTCTTTCGCCATTTTTTGTCTTCTATCTGTAAGTCTATGTATATGTTGGTTAGGTATATTATTAGATATCTACTACGTTTATCATCTGTTCTGTTAAGCTATGTTACTTATGTCGTGTATATCTATCTACATATCATAGAAAAGGAACTATCGCGTTCGTGCTTTACGAACAACAAATGGCTAACGCATTAGATGCTGTTGATTGGGAAGGTAGATTTCCTCCAATATAAATATCACTTTCTTCTTTATTTTTTATTTAAAATTAAAATTTCAATGTTAAATATTAAAAGATCTTGCAACAAGTAATATAATGGCTTGTTTTGACATATGTCATTCTATCATTAATTTACTTTTCTTTATTGCATATAACAAAAAATATATTATTATTTTATGAATTATCAAAATTTAATAAAAATAAAATATTTTTCTTTACATAAATGTTATATCAAAAATATTTTATTTTCATTATATTAAAACTCATTGGAATGTAAAAAATATAATTTAAATAATTATATTATTAATATATGTAATTATAGTTTGAAAATTGATTTTATATTTAGATTTTTATAAATCTAAAATCACTTCATAACAAATCTCATAATAATTAAAATAATAAATAATCTCATGCAAATCTTACTATTAGTATCCCTAACCTCATTGACGAATTTATCTCTTTCTAACAAGTAGAAAAAATATAATTTATTTTTACTATTGTTTGTACTTTTTAATATTATTAATTTCATATTTAATTTTAGATCTCAGAAGGCAAGCAAGACATTTGGAAAATGAAATTGATGCTAAATTGGTAGCATTCAGCAAACTTGGTGTTAATACTGGAGCTAAACTTGTTAACAGTGATGAAGTACCTCTTTTGGATGAAGAACATGTCTTTGAAAATATGGCTTCTGAAATAGAAACATTACTTGCTAAAGTAAGTTTAAATTCTAATATTAAATATTGCAATGATTTAAATTATATTTGTTACAGTTATTCTCTATAAATGAAAAAATGAGTAAATTACAACCAAATGGTGCTGCAATGTTACATACAATGCAACGTCATAAAGACATATTAAAAGATTATAAATTAGAATTCAATAAAATTAGAAATAATTTTGCTGCAAGAAGAGATAGAGAAGATTTATTAGGAAGTGTTCGTAAAGAAATTGAGTATGTATACTTATTACTTTTTTTTATTTCAAATTATTTTTTATTTTTAAATATTTAATTAAAAATTTATAAATTTTCTATGAAATAGTAATTACAAAAATGTGAGTGGATTGAATCGACGGGAAATGTACATGAAAGAAAATCAACATATTCATAAGTGAGTAATGATTATTATATTAATTGTTTTACTATGATTCATTCTACTTGTACATAATATAAAGTATCCTGTTTGTTACATTTTTTGGCAAATATAAGATTAGTAAAAATTTTTTTTCAGTTCAGATCGTTTGCTTAATGATCAAATAAGCATAGCAATGGAAACGCGCGATCATTTGATGACGCAAAGACAAACATTCAAACGTATACAAACCAGATTAAATGACATGTCAAATCGATTTCCAGCAGTAAATAGTTTAGTGCAAAGGATAAATCTACGTAAAAGGCGAGATTCACTTATTCTCGGCTTTATTATCGGATTTTGCACATTTCTCATGTTACTCTATGCTTTTCACTAAGTAATATTCTATACCAAAGTACTTCCACCTATAAGAAATTAGTAATTCATCAATGGGAATGCATACATAGATGAGGTATTTGGTGATATATTTACTATATATAATGAATAGCAAACTAAAGGTGAAAAGCGCCTTAATTGTGCGTGATTTATGAGTAAGTGAATTCTGAATGCTTGAATGAATGTTTTCTCGTTCTTACGAGTTAAGAAAGTAAAAGAGAGAAAAAAAAAAGAAAATGTTAAACTGTACAGTTTTTTTTATACATAACATAAGTCGTGGATAATATCATGTAAAAAATTTTAATCCACAGTCGAAATGTTAATTTAATAAAAATTAAAACAAATGGTGAAAATTTTATGTATTTACAGAGTCATTTGTATCTTTTTTTAATTACCTATGTACATGATTATTCTATTGTTTTAAAAACAAATTTTTTTTATCTTTTTGAAAACAGTAAAAAATAATAAAAAATCAAACTTAAAACAAAATTAAAATTAACTAATCGCAGCAGAGACTGATATTTATATAAGATTTTTTATTTGCTATTAGTATAATTCTATGCAAGTACTAAGTTTGTGCTTGCAAAGAAAACAATTTACACATCTTTTTTTCTTACGGAAATCCACTGTATTTTATACGCCTATGAATCATCAATATGTTTCGAATGCTTTTGCGATGTAACATATATATTCAAAGCAATAAGGGGAAAAAGTAGCAAGATGCACAACGATTTCTATTCTTGAAGTTACATAACAGAAGAAAATAACATTAATGCAAATATCGTAATTGTAATTAATAATATATAGAATGGGCTTTATCGTTCGAAAGATCAATTTTTGTTAATATTATTTTTTTTTCAATTTTTACTAAGAAGTATTGATTTTACATACACAGAAAACATTTATACATGTATATATACACAAGTACGTACATATATATATGTATATATGTATAGCATCATCAGATTCTCTCATTCAAATTCACAAAACACAGCACATTATGAAAGTAATCGTTTGGCAAGACAGTGCCTGATTTCCACGTATACTAGATACCACATTTATAAATTACATCTTGTCTGTAATAGGAACTCAAGTAAGAATTGTAAAAATATCGAATATAAGGTACACGTGTGACCTGCTTTATATTCTTTAATATATATATTTACACTTTGAAAATGTTATAATCACAAATTACTTTCAATATTCGAATTTTTCATTAGCAAAGAGTTTCATTTTCGATTTTTAATAAAGAATCTTTACCTTTAAAAAGAATGAATGTATATAATATATGAATATAAAAATTGCAACTTCATATAAACTGAATAAATACGTGAAATTAATTATGTAAACGTTATGAAAAATAGGCAGCAAATTAATCAAACGAATAATTTCTGTAATGTACATATTAATAAATAATTTAGATATCCTGTATAATACCAATTTTATAGAAAAAGATATAACGCAATAAGAATATTCTTATTTACGTTATATAAATGTATTTGTGTATTTTACATTATTCTTTTTTTCTTTCTGTGTTTTCTTAATTTTGTTTATAAATGCAATATGTAGTGTATCCGTAGAAACAGTATTTTTTTTTCCTGGATCACATCAAAACGATTCTTTTCAATAAGAATAGATACAAAGACAAGAAAATATTCACAAGACAATTTTCGGTTCGCAGCGTCTAAACACGTAAACGCTTAATTCGCATATCCTTATATATTTTTTTTTTTAATTGGAATTCTACTTAAAATTAATTCTTCGATTTTTTCGAAATATTCTATTTATCATCTTTTTCGATTGGATCTTCTTTTCTTTTTTTTTTTTATTTCTATTTTTTGTTATAGATCATAAATTGTGAGATCCATTTATTTAGCTATCGAAACTCGTCCAGGCGTACAAACAACAGACATCTACTCAATATACATGCGAATTGCATGACTACTTTATGATTTCTGAATATAAATATACTGCCATATGTATCATTCAAATCTAACTTTTAATGCTGACTACTTATAAATGAAGAATATTAGGAGACGAGGTTATACATTTTTTTTTCTTATTACATAAGATTTTTAAAATTATCCACTTATTATTGTAATAATGATGTCGGTCATAGTAATACATTTTACATGCATACATACATACATACATATATATATATATATATATGTATATATATATATATATATAAATATACATGAAAAACAAATTTGTAAAAACGTACAAGAATTACACTATCTTGGCACTTATTTCATAAATAATAAACATTTTAACATAAAATTTATAGAATAATAATCTCCATTTATTACCTCGTTCCTTCATCTCCTTGTAATAGTTAATAATAGTTTTGCAGTGAAGATACTAGTACTAATAATAGTAGCAGTTGTGTAATAACATTAATGATAGCAGTAGCAATGGTCATTAATTAACTATTCAATGAATTCAACGATCAAACAAAAGGACTGGACAGTTGCGTATACATTTGCATATTCCAGCGAAAATCGATTGCTTGTTGCACTGTTTTTTCTATATCATTCTAATACTACTTTATATTTTTTCTTTTGGGTTTTCCTTACTTCTATTTTGTTAATCAGTCACAATATATATTTGAGTAAGAAAACCCACTTCTATAACTAAGATTTTAATCGATTCTCACTGAATTAAAATTTGTTCTTCAAGATATGATTAGCATAAAATATGGTTCTTAAGTTATATGCATTATTATAGCTTAATTTTATATTTCCATATAAGAATCTTACTTCTCTTCAAATTTGATAAAATTTTTCATAATACACGAAAGATAAAGCTATTCCGCATAAATTGAAATTCTATAATATAATGCAGGGACAGAGATAGAGATAGAGATAGAAAAAGATGAAATAGAAATAGAGACAAGCAGAGAGAGAGAGAGAGAGAGAGAGAGAGAGAGAGAGAGAGAGAGAGAGAGAGAGAGAGACTAAATATCTATGTCCAGTGATACATTTTACAAAACAATTGTAATATTTTTTTTTCGCATACAAAAGAAGTGACAAATTTACTTTGCATCATAATTATTATAAAATTATAGACTTTGTTATTTTCTTTCTTTCTTGATTCAAGACACGAAAAACAGATAAATGAAAAATAGAAAAAGATATTCATTTCCGTTAACGTCTAACTAAAAAGCGGTGGGATCTATTAAAGTCAAAAAAAAAAAAAAAAAAAAAAAAAAAAAAAAAAAAAAAAAAAAAAAAAAAAAAAAAAAACAAAGAAAAAAAAAAAGAAATATGTTAGCTACTTAATAATGTTTTTTTGTTTGATCGGGATGTAATAGGTATACAAAGTATACTTCGTTGAAATGATTAAATTAAAAATGTTAAAGCCTAACGAAAAAATAAGTTTCGATCTCATGAAATTCATAGATTGGAAATATTTATGCACACATTCGTTTCACTCGTCATTACGGCAATTAAAATAAAGTTATAGATCCAACTTTCGAATCTACATACTTAATCGATATTTATATCTTTGCCGTGCATTTGCAAATGCACCCTCTTCTTTATTGAATTTTGTCGCAAGACTTAGGAAGAGGGATTTGTCCATGTTATATTCACATTAATCGCTTCTTTTGGTCCTGTTCTTAATAAAAAAATAAATATTATAATTTTTCCATATTTTTCCAACAAATAAATCTTTTTTCAGGCCTGTTACTTACCTATAAAAGCGAATTAATGAAATGTTCAAAATGTAAGTTCTTCAGTATTTTCAGCATCAGATGATAATTCTTGACGTAATATTTCCATACATGATTTCGGAATAAGAGTACCAACTATTTTTAAACCTTCATCTATAATAAAAAAATAAAAAAAAAATAATTAAAAAAAAATTGTAACAATTCTTTAATTTTAGTTTTGAAAAATTACATTTAAATTTTCTATAAAACTTACCAGTTCGTAAGCGTACAACTTGCATTTTAGTATTATGAGCAGAACGTGTCGCAAGAATGCTTTCAACTCGACTCCATACGCTTAATACCGAACCTGATAATACATTATAGGAACGTCTTCGAAGTCCAACCTCACAATCCATACCAAGAGTCGCATTTTTACAATTGCCACGCCAATAAGCGTGTGAACATGTATCTACAGATGCTTCGTATTGTTGTGACCAATGTGGTTCTGCTTCATCTGAAGATACTTTCTTATATTTTTTCTCTAATTCACCTAGAGTTTCTTGTCTTAATTGTAATCCTGTATTGGGTCTTTTAACAAAAATATAGATTAGAATAGAAACAAATTTAAATTATTAATTATTAATTATTAATTATTAATTATTAATTATTAATTATTAATTATTAATTATTAAATTATTAATTATTTTTTATAATAGAACTCCATTTATCTGAATTTAATATTAATACTAATAATATATTAATACTAATATATTAATAGACTATAATATATTATTATACTATAATATATTAATATACTACTAATATATTAATACTACACAATACTTGATTTATGGAATATGTTTCTAAATTCTTATAATCTAATCCATCTAATACAACACTTACATTAACTTATGTCTTATGTTTCTTTTTTAGCATTAATAATTTTTTGCTTTTTATGTAATAATTTATTCTAATATGAATAACAGTTAAAATCAATTATAATATCATAATATTATAAAATTTCTAAATATTTTAGATTAATAATAAATATTATATATTATCAGATTATATATTAAACAATTTTTTATTTCAGAAAAAATTTGTAAATTATTATTTCTAGAATATAATGTACAATTAATAATTTACAATTTACAACACTATTTCTATAATATAATTTTACGAATGTAATTATATATATCCTAAATTGATTGGGATAAAATAGATATATACATCTTATCATCTAATGATGAAATTATTGCTTCATATTTAAATAAATAAGCAAAAAAAAAAAAAAAAAATCCAATTTTATGAATTATAGTACTATATATAATTAATATATATAATATATTACTATATGCTATTATTATACAAAAAAATTATAATTACTATTATACAAATAAGAAATAGAAAATCTATGGATTCCTATTATCTGATTAATTTAATTTTTTGTTTTATTTTCAAATTTTAGATAGATAGATAAATGGAATTTTATTATATAATATAGGGAAAAAAATACTATACCTATAAACCATATATAGTTGATCTTTTTTACTCTCAGATTTCTTTTTTCCAGTATCCACTAAAACTGCAAGAATTGCCGTTTGCTTTCCATTACGAATCTGATGACTCAAATAGAATCCTTCCTTGGATCCTGTTAATTCAGAACATTTGTCCATCGATTCAGTCCAATTCATTCCACGTTCGACATGAACAACATGAAGTTCAGTTGGTGCCTTTCCAGTAGCATGTTTCCGCAGAAAACGATACAATTTAACTCGTTTTACATTCTCACCAGATGTACCAAGGTCAAGAATACCCATATCAAAACGACCAGTTTTTTTCGCTTGTGTGACAATCGCGTTTAAAGTATCAGTGAAATATTTAAATAATCGATTTTGTAAATCAACTGGCATACCAAGAATACGATTTAAAAATTTTGACATGTTGTTATAATCTTTGTCCAATGTAAGTACACCCGGCGTACTCTCGCTATTACAAATTAAACCAACACCAACTAATGCGTCAGCTACATCCTTAAAGAAGTCTCCTTGATAATCTTGTGGTGGTGGTACAAGCGGTGGTTCATATCTAATATTTCATTTTATAAAAAAGTATTTTAATTTACTAAAATATATTATTAAATGATATATAAATATATCTTATAATAAGATATAAAAAATATACGAACTTCATTATAGTCCTCATTGTTGCTTCAAGTGCTGCACGACCATATTTGTTATCAATATTGAATTGTGAGAGATCTCTAGTTTCTGTAGCCCTTCTATCACCATGCGTGAGAGCTCCGAGACTTTCAAGACGTTTTGCAACAATAGATGCAAATCGTCGTTCACCAGCCAAATCCGAAATAAGAAATATGTATTCCGGCGCATTGACTTGATTAGAACGATGTGTTCGTCCGAACTGCTGTATTGCTCTGTCTGCGCTCCATGGTAATTCAAGAGTGATATGCACACGTCGCATCTGATTTCTCGCTCGCCTATCACTTTGTAATGATATACCACTACTAGCTGCTTCTGAGATAATGGCTACTGTTTTTTCACCATCCATAAATCTATTACAATATTAAATTATTAAAATTTATTTGTCTGAAAGTAGATTTCCTTTTTTAAATATAATATTTAAATAAAAATTGATTGTGTACCTCTGTTTCTCAGTTAAATTAAGAGTTTCTAATGGTACATCCACTTCAGATCTGGATTCATATTGAATAGTACCATCTTCTGTTTGAACAACTCGTCCTTTCCTGCCAGTCATTTCGGCCACATTTTCTGGTCCACCAAACTCATCGATTAATTGATCTAAAGTATTTGGTGGCAATCGTTCTCCCAATTCTTCAATTTGCGATAATAATTCTTTCTTCATAGTATAAGCACGTTCTACGGCATCTCTTGATGGTGCTCGATTACGTGTTGTTCCAGCTCCCATTGGACCTAAATAATTTATAAATATATATAACTTGAAAATATTTTTAAGAACATAAAATATATACCGCTTCGTTTCTTCACTGGTTTTTTTTGTTTTTTAGCGCCCTTCTTCCTTCGCCTTCCATCACCTGAATCTATAATGTAAATAATAAATAATTAAAATATTTTTATTTTACATTAGAATCGAATTTAATTTTAATGATTTGTGATATTTACCAGAGTCTGATTCACTGTAATTAAAAGAAGAATCTGAAGTGATATTGCTCTCTTCATCGGTCTTGTGATCATCCTCGCTCTCACTACCACTTTGCTTATATTCTGAGCCAGAACTATGTCCACCATTTCTTTCGTCATCCGTAAAATCGTCATCAGACGGAAATGTACGAACTCTTTTTGAAGCCCGTTGAGCAGCCTGTCGTATTGGTTTTCTTTTACTTCCACTTGCAGAACCACCTGCACCATCAATATCATCGAGATCGTCTAATCTTTGCATTTTCGATGGTTCAATACCAAGAACTCGTTGTATGTGATTACGATCTGATGCTGGAAAATGTTTTTCTACTAATGTTTGAAGCACTCCTCTAAAATAAAAAAATTCATTAAAAAAAGATAATTTTTTTGTATTTAAATATATAAAAAACTAAACGATAAATTTACTTTGCAGTGGAAACGAAATCGCTTAATTCACCATCATCGCGTTCCAATTGTTCTAACGTACGAGCTTCACCAGTAGATTGTAAACCGATAACCACGCATTTTCCACACTTCACGGCTTCTCGTGCAACTGCTACAGCATGTTTCACTTTAGCTGCAATGCACAGATATTTAAAGAAACGTTGATGGGATGACCAGAATTGTCCCCACATAGTTTTTTTCATACGATTTTCGGCATCTAACAATTCTGCTGATTCTTGAAACCTATGCATTGCTTCAACCCACTGTAAAAATTTATTATTTAAGAGATTATTACTTATTAATTTAGAGTTTTTATTTTAATACTCACAAGACGAACGGAACGATCATAGATGTCAGTAAATTCTTTGGATAATGGTACTTCTTCTATTTTAAAAGCTACACCATGAAAACTAAGTTGTCGAGCGATGTACATGCCTCGAAGTTTCATGTCCATTGCTACAATTTCCATTACACCAACTCCACGCTTTTCCACAGCGGTAATAAAATCATTGAATTCAGGAAACGGTGTTCCTTCACCCCACATACCTAATCGAACCATATAGGCCATATTACGGGGCTCAGAAGCACCCGTAGCACTGGCATATACTACTCTAGCTTTGGGAAGCTTATTTTGCAACTCTAAGACTGTTAAACCTAGAATATATCAATATGATATATATTAAATATAATACTAAATATATATGTATGTCTTTAATTTAAATAATATATTTAATACATATACCTGTTTTTGTAGGTTTTGAACTTCCTGTAGGACATAAATTTTTAGCCCGATGACATTCATCAAAAATAATTAATCCATCAAAATCTTCACCACACCATTGTAAAAGCTGTTTCAATCGACTCTTATACTTTCCACCACTTTGAGAAGATTCTCCAATTAGAGCTGAATATGTACTAAATATTACTCCTTTCTTTACGTTGCCATTTACTGCCGACGAAATTTTTGCATACTTAAATTTGTTTAAAGCATGAACCTAAGAATATAATTTATAGTTTATATTCAAAATTAAAATTATAAGCAATTAATAATTTATATAATATAAATATATGTATAAAATTCAATAAAATATTTTTAATTTAAATAAGTACCTCAATTTTTGATGCACCGATATCGTTTAAATCACGTTCAGCATCATATTTAAGGTCATTTGAAACTGATACCCAAATAGCACGTTTTCTTCCTTTCAAATAATTTTCAAATATAATTCCAGCTATAGTTCGTCCTTTACCGACTCCTGCACCATCACCGATAAGAAAACCAGCACGCGTACTATCTGGTAACAGATGTTCGTGCTGTTGGGACGCATATGTTATTGATTCAAGTTGCAACGCGGATAAAGCTCCAGTTCGTATCGTTTCTTCAGGAATCGAAAGTTTGTACCAAACATCTGTTGGTTCAACACTAGATAATGATGCGGTTTCCACGACAGGATCTGGATGCTTTCGTCCGAGCTTAACTATAAAACATCATATTAATTCAAAAATTATATAATATATATATTATGTAATACACATAACATATTTCACATAATATATCAAAAATAAAATTAAATACGTTTGGTTGGCATATAATCAGAATATGTTTCCGCAACACCCATATCTTCATCATCCACTTCTTCTTCTTCTGGTATAGTTGGTTGTATATTCATTTTTGCAGGATCTCCAGAATTCATCCATAATTGAGCCATACCTTTGCCTAAAATAATATTTCAAATTAATATTTTAACATTATACAGTAATTAATAATATTAAATTTATTATAATTGATATAATTAGCGATATAAACGATATACTTTAATTTCTAATATATTAAAAAATATTAAAACTGTGAATAATACCTGATAGTCCAGCTGGCCAATTTGGGTGTAAACCATTTTGGTTTAATAATTGTACAAGAGGATTAACTCCCATGTTCATTCCAGGCATACCCATAAAACCACTCATTAAGCTCATATCCATGTCTAAAATATATATAATATAAAATTATTTTTAATAATTTATTTAATAATTATGATAACAATAGTATTATTTAAAATAATTATAATTAAAATATAATAGTTAATCGCGTTTACATTACTATTATTAATATTATATACAATACAATGGAACAATAAACATATAAATTCATTATACAAATACATTTTAGTTGCAAAACAATAATGTATGTGTATAATTAACTCATACATACATTGATCATAATATATTGTTTCTTATTGCAAATAAAATGAATTAATTTGATGTTATCATTAAAAAAAATTAATAAAAAATATTTTATACTTACTTGGTGGAAAAAAGGCTGCAGGATTGAAACCTGCAAGAGTTGCTAACCCTGGTGGAAAATATGGTCCACCAGCAGCAGCTAACTGACCTAATTGACCTAATTGACCTAATTGATTTGCATTAACAAAACCAGGTGGTGTACCTTGTGATCCTCCTACACGTACCATTTCATAACCGGGTGTTGCTGTTTTAGTTACCAATCCACCAGGGATTTTATTACCAAACTTCTGATTTAACACTGTTCGAAAAATATAATGAGATCAAGAATATATTTTTTTATAATACTGTTTATTAAAATAGTTCTTACTATTTAATGCTCCTTGTCCTTTAGCCATAACATTAGATGGTGCATCTGCAGGCTTCTCATCTTTAATATTTGCAATTCCAGTAGCAGTGGCAAGATCTTTACCACCACCTAATGAAAATTATATTAATATATATATATATATAATTGTTTTTTATAATATATATATATATATATTATTGTTTTTTATAATTATTTTTTATTCAAAATATGAAATATTTACCAGGTACACCCATGTTATCGGGATCTTCATCTTCATCACTGCTGCTATCTTCATTCATTGCGTCCTTATCCCTTTTAGTTGACTAAGAAAAATTTTCTCAATGTTTTTAAAGCACATAATATCATTACTATGTGTTAATTTATTATTATTCAAAAAATAAAATCATTATTTAAATTATTATCATCATTATCGGCATCCTCGGATTATAATAAAACAATGGATCAAGCGTATATTTCAATATATTTTTATATTTGATCCATATTTTGTTTTTTTCATACTTTTAAAATATCATGTAATTATTTTACATTTTTATCCATAAATATAAATATATATTAAATCTAAAAACAAAAATGTCGAAAACTATCGTATATACCGATATAATACCGTGATTTATATTTTGATTAAAAAAAAAAGTGAACAAAAAAATGAAAAAAATAACAAGGATGTCGAGATTATGAACTTGTTTAATTTCAGGAAAAAGCGGGAGAGATATAAAACAAGGAAAGGCAGAATCATAAGTTATTTAAAATTACATTAGGAAGAACCATATATATTCATATACAAAATCATCGCATCTATAGGTTAGTCGTGCTAAGAAGTGCACAAAGAAATACGCACTGCATGAAAGAAGCGCGCTTTCTTCTAAACGTATCAATGAAACTACTGTAAACAAAAGCTCACCATGACAGAAGATTCCTTTAAACTCCTTGCGATTACAGAAGAGTCAAGGTAAACACGATATCTCGATGAAACACCGACGATGAATAATTATCTTTGATGTGTAGTCGAAGATGCTGACTATGACAGTGCACGAGACACTTTTTTTCCTCCCAAGAATCTTGTGTGTCGTGTCTCGTCAAATGGACATCATTCAATAACAATTGAATGGTTGGTGAATTGTGCGAACTAGGAAATCACAGTGTAAGAACTTACTGTGCGTTTAAATCGAGCCATTTATGTGATCTAAACCGAATATATACTTGAAACGCGTTCGCCAAACACGGCTGCCGCCATCTTGGCTTTCGCCCGGCCCACGGTGCACCGCGATACAAATACAAAAACACACGCGCTAGCTATGGCTGCTGCTTTCAGAATATGATCATGCAGCGTTGCCAAATGTATTTAAGGGGACATTCTCAGGAGCGCGTTAACTAAAAAATTACCTTTCTTTCAAAAAAATAATTGATCAATATATTTTCTTCGATTCAATTAATAATATTATTTAATAATTACAAAATTAGCTAGATATTTGAAAAAATAAAAAAATAAAACTATACGAAAGCTTCCAATACGAATAAAAAGAGCAGAAAATTCTGACATCTATCGACTATTTCGTAACTACATTTTTCATGACAATGCATGCAAATTTAAAGCGAACAGTGAAACAAACGAGAATCGGTGTAAATGATATTAATAAAGCTTTTAGACGTAACATGCAATTCTAATAGCTCGAAATAATCTCAAATGATTAGTTATTATATATTAAAATAATTTTAAAGTATTTTTTTTTAATCAAATAAAATTTCGATTGACGTATTTATTTGTAATACCATTTAAATAAATAGTTTGTCGATTTAGTTGTTCTTCTGTAGTTTGTAGTACAAATCACACGTCACTGTAATGAAAAACACAAAAGAAATAGAGAGACAAATTTTTGATACGTAATAAAATGAGTTCTACAATTTTAATAATTGCTTATATGAGCACGTGTAGTTCTAAATCACAATGAACAGTAAACAAACCGTGCATATCGCGTATCATGTGTTCGTAAGCGCGTGGTTACACTTAAATGAAGCATATAGAAATTTGGCAACGCTGTCAAGGCGCCGCGCTGATCGTTAGTTGATTTAAAGTATCCGCGGTAAAAAGAAAAGAATACATCAGCTAATTCTATACAGAAATGATGAATAATGCAAATTTCAATAAATTTAGATTTGTCTGCGAAAATTAAAAGATTATAAATAGCCATTTTACTAAAATAATATGTGTTTATTTAGTATTCTGCAATTGCTTACCTAAATCTATCTAAAAAATAACATCGTTCTAATACGATCGATCCGAGCTTCGCGCCGCTCACAGCGACATCTAGCGACAAATTCATACAACTAAATAACAAGAAAATTATTTGATTTTGTTAATTTAAATCGCGAATATAAAATATAAATACTTAAATTTATATATTTAATTCATAAAAATATCACTGAGTATAAGACATTATCTTTTTTAATTTTTTAATTGTTTTATTTTAATATCTTATTTAAATATTATTCATTCAAATTAAATTTTTTTTCATTGTGATATTTATAATATATAATCTCAATATATATTCTTTGAACAATAGTATTATATATATTTTTGGATATTTATATAGAAATAAATAATGATTTTAATTATATATATGCATATATTTAATATTTTTAAAAGGGAATATTAGTAAAAATATTATGTATATTTTGAAAATATTTATTTAAAATTTCTAAAATTTGGCAGCTGAATTTTAAAGTTTGATATATTTTTAATGTAAAAAAACATGCAAATTAGTATCATGAAATCATACTTTATGAAATGTATATAAGTCTATAAAAAAAATATATAAGTTTATAAGCCTATAAAAATTTATGCAATTATTCAAGTATCAATTTTTAATTAATTGATTAATAATAAATTATTAAAAATAAATGATAAAAATAAATAAGCAAGAATGTTTATAATTAATATGTAAAATATATATTAATATGTAAAACAACAAATATAATTTAATATGCAAAACATATAAGTAATATCTAATTTAATAATAGTGTATCCTAGTATAATATGCAATGGCGGCATATCCGGTATATTATTTCAATGTTGTTTGTAATTTATAATTAATGGTTCGTGTTCTTGAAAAAAATGCTTTAAACAAATTAATAAAATTGTTGATTACAACGATAAATTATTTATTTTTCGATTTTAAATGTTACTTTATATTTATATATATAAAACGAATGTAGAAAAAAATATAGTGAGTGTGAAAATTCGAATTAATAAAAATCATTTGTATTAAGCATACTAGTATTGAAGAATGCCCGTATCGCGTAACTAGAATTTTGTATGAGAAGAATAAATTCAGTATTTGTTCATTATATGAAAAAATCAAGGGATAATATGGTGAAAGGTAGGAATATGATTCTAAAAAATTCATGTACACTTTCACTGAAGATTTTGTTTCAATAATCAGGTTATGTTTTGATAGATTTCACTTCTTCTCTCTCCATTTTGAATGTTATCTTGTAAATGCTAATTTCTCAAAACTTTATTTAATTTATATTTAATTTGTTTATAATAAATTGTCTTAAATTTTTATTCATATATATCAAAATGTATTTTTAATCATTCGATGATATATTCGAAAATATATTTATAAATTAAACTAAATTTTCTTTTATGAATATTTTATATTTTGTAGTTTATTCATAACATTTATTATAATTAATTGTTTTTAATTAAAAAAAATATACAATATAATATAATTTTTATTGCAATAATAATTTTAATACGAAGCTTCAAAAATCATAGATAAATTGATACGCGCATGTACTATGACAATATAATATTTATAGATACATATATAATTGTATATATTTTTTTTAAATATAATAATTAGATATAAATTTCAATAATGACATAATATACATAATTCAATATATATAACAAAAGAAAAATATTAAGTTAAAATTATATATGTCTTTTATATGTTATAATATTTAATATTATTATATTTTGAAAACTTATGAATTTTATACATATCTTAATTTAATTATAGGACGGCGAAAACGTATGCAAACAAAAAACACAGGTCGTACAAAAGTTAATGTTTTATCCACTCAAAACGATATAAATCAATCACCAATGAAAAAGGAAACCAAACTAGATGATACTAAAAATGTAAAAAAAGTTAATTCAGATGAAATTCACTCAACACATAAGTCACCTGTATGCATAAGTTCCTTTTTTTATACACAAGTATGTAATTTATTTCAAATATTGTGAAAATTATATTGATACAAATATATATAATTATTATTTATATTTAATATTAATAAATTATATTTATAATTTAATTTTTAATTTATTTTTATATATTGCATGTATTTTTTATATATTATATGCAAAAATAATTTTTCTTTTATTAAAATTATGGTTTTGAAATATAGATTACAGATATTTCTAAAAATAAAACTTCTATAGTGCCTATTGAAGAAAGGTTTTATAGAAGTGAAAAAATCAATGCAGTACAAAATGATATTCTTACTGATGTTGGTCATTTCAGAACAGATGGTAATATCTTATATTCTTATATTCTAATTATTATATTCTACTTAATATATATTTATATATTAATATCTAAATAATGTTTCAGAAACACCTGTAGCAGTACCTATACATGGTCCATCAACACCGCACAGAATTAATATGCCAAATGATCAATGTGAAGACTTAGATGAAAGAAATACAAATGATAATAAGTCTAAAAAATCTATAGCTCCAACACTTCATTTAGAACAACAAATTTCAAAAAAAACTCCTAATCGTGGCCGTAGAAAATCAAACAATAATCATTCTAGTGCAATTTATGCATTAGATTCTACAAATATCAAAAGTACAAATCACAAGCTTACTGATTACTTTCCAGTACGTCGTAGTGTCAGGAAATCTAAGAAAGCTGTATTAGAAGAAAAACAACGTGATATGGAAAACAAAGTGCTGTGTCAAGTAGAGGAAGGTTTAGAAGTAAGATAAATTCATAAAAAAAAAATGTTGTTGTTTTATTATTCCATAAAATGTTCTTTGTTAGGTAAGATATTTTGCTGGTAAAGGTCGTGGAATAGTAACAACACGAGAATTTATGAAAGGAGAATTTGTAGTAGAATATATTGGTGAATTAATTGATCAAGTAACAGCAAAGAAACGTGAAAAAATATATGCACTAGACCAAAATACTGGATGTTATATGTATTATTTTCAACATCGTAATCATCAGTATTGGTTGGTATTTTCTAAATTTTTTCTAGAATTATTATAAATCACTAGTTATTTATAATATCACATTTTTAGCGTTGATGCAACAGCAGAAACTAATAAATTAGGTAGATTAGTAAATCATTCAAGAAATGGTAATTTAATTGCACGAGTTGTAGAAGTAGAATCAACACCTCATCTGGTACTTACAGCAAAAGAAAATATACCTATTGGAGTAGAAGTAACATATGACTATGGAGATCGAAGTCGCGAAGCTATTCGTCATCATCCATGGTTGGCATTATAGCGCTATCAATCAATTAATTACAATAGCATGATATATTGTATAGCAAAATTCGTTCATTTGATTTTGTTCCTCCTATGAAGGAACAATAAATATATAAAAAACTTTAGTTGAATTTTATGAAAAAGAGTACATAAAAAAGAAATATATTCATGTACTTTTGCTTTAATATGACATACATATAATTATGCATTTCTTTATCTATATAATAAAGAGACAAAGAAGAGAAAATTATAGATATTAGATATCTTATGAAATAAACAGTATAGTTCACTAGTTTTATTATATTTTAATTTTCATTTGTCAAAAATGCCAAATTTGTAAAAATTATTAAAGTTTATTAAAGTTTTTAATTATATATTTTTTTAATGACTATTGTATTTAATTCATAATTATATGATATTTAATTATTATTTGTGATTATATGATAGTTTTGTATTGCAATTCAAAAACAATTTTATGTGCGCAAACATGCGCGAATTTTTCATAATTTATGACAAATACTTCTAGTCTTGGATTTAGTCTAGTATTAAATAAAGTTGATATTATTAAACACCTCAAAAAAAAATACTAGATCAAAACTTTTCCTGGCTGAAGGATTTGTGATATATCGATATACATGTCTTCTCTTCTTATTTTTAAATACTTAATTATGTACTTCGATCTCTGTATCACGAAATTTATAAATTAATATTATTTTTTTTTATTTGTCAATTTGTCACTGCCAAATTCTAAATCATATGTGAAAAGTAATTCATAAATTTTAAAGATAAAAAAAGTTATATAAAATAGTTTAATTAACAAAAATACAATTTCAGATTTTTTGAATATTAAAAAAACTTAGATATCTTAATTTCTTATATGCAAATAGAAAAGTAGAAAAAAAAAGAAAGAAAAAAAATATCTTCATGTTAAAAAAGTAAATTATACATAATATTGATCATATATTATAATTGTACTAAATAAATCTTTAAAAAATTTTGTGTATATCTTATATATAAAAATTTGTACCAATAGTTCATCAGTATTTGTTTTATCGAATATAATATTTACTATTAATTTTAAATATATATTGTAATAATTTATACAAATTAATAATTCTTAATTATAACAATCTAACATCGCGAATTATATTTATGCGATAATTTATTTATAGTTTTAATAATACATTAGCATTTTTTATAATTATATGATACAAATAAATTTTTAAAAATTAAAATTTTATGTTGATATTAGTACAATATAATTAATCATTGTTATTATCAATAGTATTATATATGACGTAAATTATACAAATATAGCTTTATTTCAATGAAAACCGTAAAAATATATTATTTGTTCTGAATCTGTAAATAAATATCTTGATAACATATATTTTTAGTAAATATTATTATTTATTTTGTTATTATTAAAATGAAAATAATTAAGTTATAATTAAGTATATAAATATATATAATAATAAATATATATTGCATATTTCGTTATTCAGATTTTATTTTGATTTCTTCATCATCTTCAGAATTTTCGCCGCTACCTATAAAAGTTTCTTCTTCCACTTTTAAAAATGATGATAAAGAAGACGAAAATTCTATATTTCTTGGTAAAGGTAACTTTTTTTCCATTAAAATATTCATGTTTCTTTCATTTAAATTTTCTTTACTTTTATTATTCGATTCGATAATATTAGGTTCTTCAAACAATTGGTTTAATTGTTGTTTTTGTGTACAATCAAAATTTTTATTATCATTATGTATTAAAGTATTATATGAAGATATCGATTGAGACGTAAATATTTGCGGAATATCATTGTTTAAAGTATTTTCCTTAATTTTATACATTCGTTGAAGTGCCTTTGATTCTCTTTCAGACATAGATTTTTTCTTATCAATTAAAGCATCTTTTAATTCAGACATAAAATTCTTAAATAATATTTTATCTCGTTTATAATTATACAATGATATTTCATCAGTTGCTTCATTTAAAGGTTTTAAATATTCTTCTTTAATATATTCTTCAAATACTTCATCTATAATTTCCGGTTCTGAATCGATTATGGATTGAATATGGATATTGGAATTTGTAACTGATACTGGAATATTTGTTTTTAAATGATTAACTGTAATATCATTATTTTGCAATTTTACCAAAAATAAATTGCTAAATTCAATAAAATCTTTTGCAGTTTCAATACTTTTTTGAGCTGCAGTTAATTTTTGCATTGTTTTTTCCATATAATCTTCGTTCGTTACATTTTCAATTACATCGTTATCAATATCTTGGAGTATTGATAATACATAACTATAAGCCAATTGTAATTTATTAGAAGCTAAATACAAATGCATATATAAATCTTGCCATTGCGATGAATCTGGACTTCTAAAATAATGAAAGCGTATAAATAATGTTACATATAAATCTTATTCTTAAATAAAAATATTTTAAAGAAATTTTCTTACTTGTATTTATATGGTTCCAATTTAAAATTATAATAAGCATCGATATGTTCCGATAATTTTTTTTTATACGTAATTAAAGAGATATTTAAAAAACGAATAATATAAGCCAATTTTAATTCGGGAATTTTTTTATATGATTGTCGCCAAATATGATTATCATACGCGATAGCTAATAAATGTAACATCTCAGATTGAGTGAGAATATAAGTATGATATAGAATCTATTAAAAAAATAATGAATAATTTAAAAAATATTTATATAAAAATTAATTAGAATATATTTATTAAAAATATTTTAATTTAACCTTTAATTTTTGATAATTTATTTCACCATGTATTTCAAATGATCCACTTTCAAATCTTGTTAATAAATCTTCATTATAAAAATTTACTGGTAATAGTTTTATAAGAATTAAGGAAACATGATAATAAATGCAAGAAATATCTCCCAAATATTTTATTAAATTTTCCATTATAGATGGTAAATATTTCAATCTAGCTGCTGTAAGATCACTGTCGAATATTACTGTTGAATATTAATATTAAAAATAATATTATATAAATTATATAATAATTTAATGAAATTTGAAAGCTTACGAAAACTGTTGAGAATTTTTCCCTTTATTTAATTTTATTTTATATTCATATTTTAAAATTTTCATTCCTTTTCTACAAACATCAAAGAAATCATTTTGTAAAGATACAACTGATTTTAAGTCCATATGTATCCTTATTCTTAAAAATTCCATACAACTAATATAATATAATATAGCTAATGTAAATAAACTAGCTGAAGTTCTATATTGAGTATAACAAGATATGTATAATGAAGATGATAAAATTGTGCCAAATAAAATAAATTTAGATGTTATAATTCTGTAAAAAATTAATATGATTATTTTAATTTTTATAAATAAATTAGCAACAAATTTTGCTTGTAGTTTAAGTAATTTTAATTATTTTATATAATTTAATTAGTAATATTTTATATAACTTAATAAATTAATTATATAATAATTACCTCCATGGTTTACAATCATATTTATCAAGAAAATTATATATTGCATAACCATGATCATTTAAAAGAATTTTTGTATTTAAAATAGCTTCCACTTGTTTTTTTGATATACTATCATCCTAAAATAAATTAAATTTTATATAAATAATATTATAATAGTATATAAATATATATGTTGTATTATTTGTATAATAAATTATGTTATGCACATAATTATTAATCATACCTGAATTATTTTCAAATACATGATATATAACTTTTTAAAAATGTTTTTTACATTGAATATAAAATCCTAAAAATTCGCAAAATTTTTTTTTAATATATTATACTATTATATTATATATTATTTATAACATACATATATATTATACATTAATTATTGCTTTATGAAAAATAACTTACAAATAGTTTGAAATATTTTTTTTCATTTTTTAATGTTAATTTTTCTATTGTTACACTTTCAAAGTCAGTATAACCTAATTCATATAAATGTTTATATAAAGATGAATTCTAAATAACAATACAAAATAAAATATTAAATAATAATATTGATTATTGATCAAGTTTATTATATGTTTTTAATACCTTTATAATAACATCTTCATCTTCATTATTAATATTATTAGAATTCATGATAATATTTATGATAATAATGAATTAATATTTAAATAAAAACAAAAATCCAATTGTAATAAGATATAAAGTTTCATTATTAAAATACATATTATAAATCTTAATCAATATATTTTAAATTTCAAAAAACACATTCATATATTATTCACACATTCAACATATTATTTCACTATTTTTATTATTTTATTATTATTTTATTATTTTATTATTTTTTCATTGATGCATATTTAGTTTGAACAATTTCATTTTTATTGTCACACAATTTCTAACTATAATATTAATTTATTTAAAGTATAGAAAACTGTGGAACTAACCACATTATTATTAGAACTCTAAATCTCTAGTATACAACTTTGCAATTGTATAGATGTTATAATTGTGTATAAGTATAGGTTAGTTTTGAAAATATATGTTTTTATTCCTTCTAATAAATCATAAAAAAAAGTTCGTATACTTTTATATGTTTTATTTATATGTTACATATTATATACAGTTAAATAATGAGAAATTTAATAGTGACACAACGTGCTAGTCGCGCTTTAAATATATTAGAAAATCAAATTTCAAATTTGAATGACTTAAAAGTATTATATACTTTCAATTCAAATAATGATGATTTTTATATACTTTTAAAAAATAAGTTATATAAAATTCCATCGAATCATATAGAAGACATAAGTTCTTTTACTTTTGATGAAGATTTAGAATTCGTTAGTTTGGAATATTGTAGCACATCGCAAGTATTGTACGGTGCCTGTAAATCCGGTAATATTATAAAAATAAATATAGAATCCGAATTTAAATATGAATCGATAATTCATTTAGACATAAATTTGCAATGCATGAAATTAAGTCCTGATCACGAAATCATTATATTAATTACAATTAATGATATTATGATTACAATGGTATCTTCTACTTTTCAAATAATATCAAAGATAGATTTACATGCACAATATTTTGGTCATAAACAATTTGTAACTGTTGGTTGGGGTAAGAAAGAAACCCAATTTCATGGATCTGAAGGAAAAAATGCAGCAGTTGTTAAAATAACAGAAATTAATGAAAATAATCTGGATGATGGAATGTGTAGAATCACTTGGCGTGAGGATGGTTCATTATTTGCAATTGGTTTTTTACATCATAAAATTAGACAATTTAAAGTATTTAATAGAGAAGGTATTTTACAATATACCAGTGAATTTGTTAATGGTTTAGAAGAATCATTGTCATGGAAACCATCTGGTAGTTTAATTGCATCAACACAGATATCACAAAATAAACATATTGTTGCATTCTTTGAGAAAAATGGTTTAAAACATAGAGAATTTTCACTTCCATTTAAACCAAAAGAAATTAAAGTATATGTCAATTTATAATCATTATTATTTTTAATAAATTCAAATAACTATTATTAATTTAGAATTTATATTATAGGTAAATGATTTATTTTGGTCTCCAGATTCAGAAATTTTGACTATTTGGTATCAAATTCAAAAAGATTCTTCTTCAGTTTTACAATTATGGGTGGAAAATAATTATCATTGGTACTTGAAACAATCTATTAACTTTCCTATGAATAATTCATTAATATGTGTAACATGGAGTGTTACATCCTGTTCTAAAAAATTGATTTTTTTAACATATAAAGAACTTATTACTTGTGATTATAATTGGTCTGTTGATCATAGTAGAGGCACAACTATACATGATAAATCTATCATTGGTGTGATTGATGGAAATAAATCATTAATGACTGGTTTTAGAATAGGAATTGTGCCACCACCAATGGCACACAAAACTTTAGAAACTGATGAATTCATAAATGCTCTTGTTTTTGCACCAAATATAAAAAGCAAAACTACTTGGATAGATAGTAACACATTTTTTTGTGTTTCTGCCAGTAAGAAATTAATATTTTATAAACATTTAATGGTAAATATAAATAAATTATAAATTATTTTAATTACATAAAATAGAATTATGTATTTTTTAATATACTATTATGATTAAATTATATATTTCTAATATTATATTATTAATGTATTTATTAATATATTTAAAAAATTCATTTATTTAGGATTCATTCTTATTAGAATATGAACATATAGGAACATATGACATTAAATGGAATGTTTCATTAGAATGTGAAAATTCCTTCTATAATATGCATCATTTTTTATGGCTTGATGAAACTCGTGTTTTATGTTCATTGTCAATGAATGATCAAAGTTTTCTTTGTGTTTTAATATTAGATGCAATAAAAGATCCAATTCAAGGACAAGTAATATTAAGGTATATTTATGCAAATAATTTCATTTAATTTAAAAAATAGAATAAACTAAATTTTAATTAAAATTAATAATTTTTTTTAATGTTTATAGACAAATATATATTATGGATAGTTTAATTCAACATATAGTTTCTTCTCCTGATCCAAAAGAAGCATATATAATTGTAGAGAATTCTATTGTAAAATATACAAAAGAAACAGAACTAATTCCAATCAATATACAATTGCAAGAATATACATATAAAGTAGAAATTGTGAAAATTGATACAAAGCATGCAATATTGTCATTATATCATAGGAATTGCTTTGCAATTAATGGAGAACAAATTGCTAATAATATCACAAGTTTTTTTGTTCATTCAGAATTTTTATTACTCACAACTACACAAAATACTTTAATATGTGTTAATTTAAATGAGAATGATTTTAAAGAATTAACAAAACAGAATTTAACCATAAAGCCATGGGAAAATCATCTTAATGAAAAATCGTTTTCAAGTATAGTAATGATTTATAATCAATTCTTAAATTAATATTAATATTCTAATTAAATTTACAATCAATATTTTCAGATTTAAATATTAGAAGATTAGAAAGAGGATCTCAGTTAATTGCTGCTATTCCAAAAGATTCGAAAACTATTTTACAAATGCCTCGTGGAAATTTAGAATGCATACAACCAAGAGCATTATCTTTACATATTATTGGATTTTATTTAGATAATTATGATTTTTTATCTGCATTTAATTTAATGCGAAAACAAAGAATAAATTTAAATTTGATTTACGATCATAATCCACAAAAATTTATCGAAAATGCAAAACAATTTGTTGAACAAATTTCTAAAGCAAATTGGTTAAGCTTATTTTTATCTGAGTTAACAAATGAAGATATTACTACAACAATATATGCAAATTATTATCGAAAATATCGATTAAAATCAAATTGTGAGATAAGTAAAATCGAATTAATTTGTAATTTAATAAGAAATATTATGGAAGAAAGAAATAATAATAATCAGTTAATTCAACCGATATTAATCAGTTTAGTAAAAGATAAAAAAAAGCAAGGCATGGAAGCTGCATTATTAAAGATAAAAGAAATTCAAAAGTTAGAAGAAAAAGTAATAAAAAATGAAAAATATATAAGTTCTGATGAAGCTTTGAAATATTTATTGTACATAGTAGATGTAAATGTTTTATTTGATATAGCTTTAGGAATGTATGATTTTGATTTGACCATGTTCATTGCATCTAAATCACAAAAAGATCCTAAAGAATATATTCCATTTTTAAATAACTTGAAAAAACTTGATGAGAATTATATGAAATATTCTATTGATTTACATCTGAAACGTTATGAATCTGCTCTTGAACATATTGCAAAAGAATCAAACAGATTTAACGAATGTTTAAATTTAATATGTAATTATAATTTGTATATAAAAGCTTTAAAATTATTTGACAAAAAGAGTGAAGAATATAAGGAAATAGCCAAAATTTATGGGGAATTTTTTTTAAAGAAACAACAGTATCAAGAAGCTGGCATCATGTTTCATAGGAGTGGTAATTTGAAAGAAGCTTTAAATGCTTATAAATTATGTGGTAATTGGCAAGATGTTATTATTTTATCTACTCAAATAAAGCTAAGGTTAATAGAAATTTTACATACTTATGAAAAAAAAGAAAAAATAAATTGTTGTAAATTTATAAATAAATATTTGATATTAAATTATATTTTAGTGATATGGAAAAACATGTGCTTTACAAGGATCTCACAGAAAATCTAAAAAATAATAAGAAATATGAAGAAGCTGCACATATTTTAATGAATTATTTAAAAAACACAGAAGAAGCTATAGATTCTTTGTGTAATGGTAAAAAATGGAAAGATGCTATAAAATATGTATATGATACCAAAAATCTAGATTTAATTGGTAAGTTTATACTTTTAAAAATAATACATAAATAATTTTGTGTGTTAAAATTATTATATTTTAGAATCTCGTATAAAATCCAACGTGTACGAATATGCAGATCATGCAATATTTCAAATAGAAAAAAATAAACAAGATTTTCAACGATATAAATCGCGACTTATAATAGTCAGAAACAATATTTCTCAAAAGAATTTAAAATCATACAATGAAATAATTTGTGACAATGAATTAATATGTGCTAAAGGCATTTCAGATATTCTTAGTGATACAAGTAGTATTGCTTGTTCAACTTTAAGTCAAAAATCGAAATTATCTACTTTATCTGGGTAAAAATAATTTAATTTTTCTTTACGAAATATATTCAACAAATATTAAAAACTAAACATATATATTTACTATTATTATTTAATAGTTCCAATTTTTTTAAACTAAACATATTACCTATCTATTATTTTTAGAAAAAGCTATAGATCGAGTAAAAATCGTAGAAAACAAGAAAGAAAATTATTAAGTTTGAAAGAGGGTAGTATATTTGAAGACCTAGCATTGATACAAACTTTGTATCAAATTATTACCAATATATACAAAGAACAGAGTTTGTATATCTATTTTTAACAATCAATTAAAATTTAAATATCGTATAAAACTTATGATGATATTTTTAATTTTAGATGATATATACGCATTAATACAAATACTTGTTTATTTTGGTGATGATGAATATGCTGAAAAAATACAACATTGTATGGAAGAATTACTTCTAACTATAGAAAAAAGTAAATCTGAAATTTGGAATAAATCTGCACCTTCAAGCCTAATAGAAATGGTATATATTAAGATATATTTATAATTAATTAGATATAGATATAATTAATTATATCTTTTTTATATTTATTAAACTTCAGGAAAATGCAGAATTTATATCTACGGATTCGCAAGGATTAAGTGTTTGCCAAAAACTGATCGGTAAGTTATCCTTTTTAATTATTTAAAAAACTTTTACTTGAATTATTATTCAAATTTTCAGAATCTTACGTTATACGTCCACCTGAATCTAATTCTTCACCTTGGAAATTGAATATATTTTAATATTTAATTATAATAAATATTTTCAAAAAATATAATTATAGATTATATTTTATAATTTTACAACTTTCCTATTTTTAAGGAAATACATTTATATCCATTTATTTTTTCATTTATTTAATAAATCTCTAAGTTATGCATTGTTAAAGATAATTTTTCTACAAGTATATATGAAATAAAATATGTTACAATAATTATTGAAGTTTATAACAAAGTTTTGCGAGACTAACTCGCAGCCTTATACTAATTTATCGATTTGTATTACAAAACAAATATCTCGATATAAGACTTTAAATATACATATTATAATATAATATTTAAATTTGTATAAGTGATATATGATACCCTGAAAAAACATTATTACAGTTTATTTTCTACTGAAATTTTCTTTACATAAATTTTATACAATATTTACGTTCTAAACGCACAAATAGTTTGGCAAAACGCCAAATATGAACAGCCACGTTCATCGATATAATATTTGTGAAAATATTGATATCAAAGTATAGATTATTAATATTGTCTGGAATACTCGGGTATTTTTATACATTAACATTTAAAATTATCTATAGAATTAATATCAAAATAAAAATGTTTTTATAATTATGAATAAAAGTTAAAATTTCATCAATATTCCAGGTATAAAAGATATGATTTACAATTTAAATACCTAAAAATCTTGTTTCAAATTAGATAAAAATTCGGCAAAATGCTCATATCTTGAAAAATGTTTAAAAATTAGTTCTTTATAGATTATTTTGTAATAAAATTTTTAATTTATAAAGTATTTAATGATATTCTTTTATTAAATAATTGAAACATAATATATATTAGATGTGATGTAAAATAATTATTATTATTTTATTTCTTTATTATTATTATTATTATTTGATTAAGCTTTATAAATCTCTGTGGTTAAATTTTATAGTCAAATATAGTATTAAAATATAGTACTAAAATGAATATAATAAATATGACCAGAAATCATAATAATAATAAATTCTTTAGATTTTAATATTTTATATCTTTCATCATTTTGCCGAAATTTTACTGAATTTAAACAGAGATCTTTCGGCAAACGTTGTTCGATAGTTTTCCTCTATAATAATCCAAAAGATATATATATATATATTCCATATCAATTGACTATACTCTCATGCTTCCATCTTTTTCATTTCTATATTAAAAAAAACTTTCTATATAATTACTCTAAGTTACTAATTACGTAAAAAGATAAAAAAATCTTTAATAAGTAATTTCTGCATTAAATATTTGCTTTTAATAAATCAGATATAATTTAAAACAATGCAATATATCATACTCGTCAATAAAGAATATTCGAGTTAATTATATGAAATTACTTATTAAAATTTTTCTTTCTTTTTTACGATTTTCATACAATCCTGTAATATTCAGAATTAAACTGTCCCATTTTTAATAGAACTTATATGCTTGAGGCAAATATCTTGATTTTAAACGAGACTATCGTTCACAAGTTTCGAATTTCATAGATAATCGAAAAATTTTTTTGCAATTTAAATATTTTTTCCTGTAACTACATATTTTTTATTACGTATTTTCTAGATAAAAAATTAATTATTCTATTGTTTTTTTTATAATAATATTTTTACATACATTATTAATAATAGTATGTTTTTTTCTTAATTTCTCCAATAGATTTTGGAGTGAAAGTCATTATTTAGAAATAATTTTAATGTTAATTAAGATAGCCAACGAAATAAAGATTTAATTATATGATATTTATAAAATGAAAATAATATATATATATATATAAGAAAAACGACGAATGAAGATAGTCTCGTCTCTTTTTCTTTTTATTTCGTCTATTCATTTTATGTATTTCTCCTTTTAAAGATGTATTATCCTATGTATTATCCTATATAATTTATTTTGTCCAATGAAATATTGAACAAACCAATGTTTCACTGTAATTATTTTATAAATTGAATATTATATTGTTTTATTATCCGCAGTGGATATAGCAAATATCGTTGCTGATTTAAGTTCCGGTCGTGTGCTAATCTTCATGCATTTCGATTGGGCGTACTTCTTTCTTACAGCTTGATATTTAATCTTATCCGCATTAACTATAATACTCGCTGTTTCCCGTACGACGGGAAACACGTCGTCCTTAGAATAAGTGCTGTAATGTGCCAAGGTATTGGTCCAAACAATTTTATGCTCGTCCTCGTCATTATTATCAATAATTCTATAAAAATAAATATAAAAATAAAAATAAATTATTAGTAAATTATATCAATAGTTATTTCACATAATATATGAAATTTATTTATTTAATTAATTGCTTAACTATGTTCTATAAATGATTCTTTTACTAGAAAGATTGAGCAATAACATATCATCAATTTGGAAATTTCTTCATTATGATATTAAATCATCAATATCAAAATGATCATATATATATATATATATAAAACTGTATAATTAACATTATCTTTAGATTATCTTTAGATATCAAAATTCTCATCTTATATTTAAAGAAAATAATAACATTAATTTTTTAAAATAATTTTTAAAAAAAATAGTAACTTACAGGAAAGCTAAATATATTGCTGCAGCTGCAATAAGACTTGGTGGATAATGACACATTTCATAATGCACTAAACTTTGTTCTAGAAAATATTTGGCCATTGTATGATGTATTGGAAGAGCCTTAAAAATAAATCGTTTATTACAAAAAATATATAATAAATTTGAGAAATAGATTTATGAATTATACCTTTCCAGCTTTGCTGTATCTTCTCAAAAAATGTAAAGGTAATGGTCTACCAAAAGAATAATCTAATGTTTTCACAATAAGCATTTCCATTTGTAATATTTCTATCCTTGAGTATGCATTATCTGTGATATATACAAAGTCATTTACATCTGGAGAATACATCTCTTCGTACTTGCTAGCTATAAACATAGCTGTCACACCAACTAATTGTAATCTTTTTCTATCTATTGAACGAAAAGCCTATTGAAGAAAATTAAAATTTATTTTTGAAGAGAATAATTAATCATATATTAGAAACATAAATATTTTATCTATCTATACAACAACAAACCTGTAAAAATCTATCAATAGTAGCAACAGTCAGATATAATGTCTCTTGCATTAGATGGAATTGTTGATGTACTTCTACTAACCAATCTATAAGTACACTTCTCATTTTTGGTGTAACTTCTTGTCCATCTAAATATCCTTTTGAGATAGGAAACATATTTTCTAAGGTTCTTAAATATCCATAAATGTCATTACTATAAATAGAAACTAGACTAGGATTTCCTTTATCTTCTTCATCAATATCCTCAACTGCTAACAGATCTGAGGAGAATGACTGAACCTCCTTAGGAGGTAGTGACACCACATTATTTTCATAAGAAACTGTAATCTTTTTTACAGGTTTAACTATTTGGATAGGTAATTTCTCAATTCCTTTTTCTGATGTTTTAATAATTTGTTTTGAAACTGTGATTTTTTTACTATCTTTTGTCAGCAAGCTAGTTCTATCAATGGGCTCCACACCTCTTAAGGTATTCACTTTGTTACCTATTTCACCCAAAGCAGCTCTTTTAGTCTTTCCAGGTATTGTAGTCACTGAGGACTTAAGGTTTTTAACATTTTCTTGATTTACAATATTCTGAAAATTTATTTTGATTTACATTGTAATTTTTTAATAAAAGCAAAATTATATTAAATTTATTTTATTAAATAACATTTAATAAAATTAATTAACATTATGTTAAAAATATCTTTTAAATAAATTAAATTAATTTAATTTATTAACTATTTTAATATTTATATTATATTTTTATTTTATCATAATTTATATCATATTAAGGAAATAACATAGAAAATAAAATAAAAAAAAAGAATACAAATAATATCTAAGAATTTCATATATTTCAAAAGATTTAAAATTAAAATAATAGCAACAAAATATATAATTATATTAAATAATAACTAACTATTTATAGTAAATAACTTATATAAAATATAAGATCATAAAAATAAAATAATATTAGAATTACATAAATTATAAGAAATACGAAATTTCGTTCAAATACTTAAAAACGGATTATTGTTTAATACAATGTAATTTAAAAATAATATTTTAATATTTAATATTTTAATATCTATTCTTATTATGAAATCATATAATATGTTAAAAGAAAAATCACATAATATGTCGCGTATGAGATATTAAAGAAAACACGCTTTTAAAGATCAAAATGTACGTTAAAATGAATATTAGTTTTCAAAGACAAATTTAATTTGTTTGCTAAATAATCAAATAAATAACATTAAAATTCATATTAAATATATTAAAATATAAGCAGCAATTTTTATAAATATAATTGTTATTTCAATAGTTTTTAAAATAAATGAAGGACATTTAAAGATGTCAGGAACAGACGGTTACCCTGTTCTATTGACCTCCCCTATCAACATTTCACAACTAATGATTTAACATTGTTCACTTAAAAAAATTTAAATCTCACCGTAAGTGCAGTCCGATTTCTTAAAGCCATTGCTATTCTAGTCAAAGAAGAATCTCACGCAACACCAAAAATTCGTCTTTCAATTCAAAGCTACTTCCACGATTTTCCAAACAACGTTTACCTCGCAGTAACGACTCTGTCGGTTTGAATTTGTTTAGTCGATCAGACGGAAGTTCATCTTCTGCGGATGTTAATATAGAGAAGAAGAAAAACCGCGAAACTCGAGATATTTGATTGGTCAATTAAATAGTCACGTAATTCAAATGTATCATAAGTATACTTCAGTTTTTTCTTAAATTGATAAATTTCAGATACTTCTTTAATTTATTTTATGAATGAATTAATATAGAACTAAATTTTACTTTCATAAAATTTATTATATTTTTTTGTAAATTCTAAAATTAATTTTATATATATATATATATATTTAAATATATTATATATATTATTTGTCATAATAAATTTGAAATAATGTTTAATTTATATTTTTTTTATAATTTTTTATTTCATATTAAAAAAATTAAAGTTAAAATTATTAAAATTGTATAAAAATATTTGTATTATTTTAAAATAATCGACTTTTTCTCTTGATATTTTGCCATGATATTATCTGATTTATTTATATGTTAATGCAATTAATTTCATTTATATTATATTTATATATTTTTATATATATAAATATTTTAAATTTTATAATTAATTAAATATTGACTTAAATATTATATATAAATTACAATATAAATTATAATCTTCGTCGTTATTGACAAATACATAAAGTCGTAAATTATTATTAATCAATTAATAATCATAAATTATAAAATGACAATAAATATTGATATCAAATTAAAGAGAGCTAGTAAAATATATCACGAAGGGGTATATCTTTCTACTATTTATAACAATATTATAATTTTAAATGTTAAGGTTATGTTTTTAGGAAATAGTTGCTGGTTTTATATTACTGCAAACTAATTCAGATGTTAAACACGATGGAATATTCTTGAGCATGGAAGGTTCTGTTAATTTACAGCTTAGTTCAAAAAATTTTGGTATTTTTGAAGCTTTTTATAATTCTGTAAAGGTTAATTTATAGAATTTCTAACAATTTTAGAAAAATTATATTATGGTTTAATTATATAAAACTATATAAGTGAATTAATTTTATTAATTATTTTCAGCCAATACAATTAGTTCAATATACTTTAGATGTTGCTCCAAGTGGAAAAATACCAAGTGGTAGAACAGAAATACCATTTGAATTACCATTAAAACCAAGAGGAACTAAATCTTTATATGAAACTTATCATGGAGTTTTTGTAAATATTCAATATTTTATACGTTGTGATATAAAAAGAAATTTTTTAGCAAAGGATGTAAATAAATCTTTAGAATTCATAGTAGAGGATAAAATACCTCTTAAAATACAAAAAGAACCTACTAAATCAATATGTTTTAACATTATGCCAGAATCTTTACAAAACACAAGAGATAGAACAAATGTACCTAGATTTTGCATTTCTGGAAAACTTGATTCATTATATTGTAAAATTTCTGAACCTTTAACAGGAGAGGTAATCATGTTATAATACTTATGTTTTGTTTAATAAGATAATATAATATATTATTTTTAAATATAAGGTGATAATTGAACATTGTGAAGCTGTGATAAAATCAATTGAATTACAATTAGTAAGAGTAGAAACCTGTGGTTGTGCAGAAGGATATTCTAGAGATGGTAAGATAAAAAATTATTAATATTTGATTAATTATCTTACAATACTATTTATTTCAGCTACAGAAATACAAAATATACAAATTGGAGAAGGAAATGTTTGTACAAATTTACCTATACCAATATATATGATATTTCCGAGATTATTTACATGTCCTACATTAAGTACAAGTAATTTTAAAGTTGGTAAGAATATCATATGAAATTTTTTTTTAATTTTTATAAGAATTTTGATAATAAAAATGTTATAAATTATTTATTACAGAATTTGAAGTGAATTTAATTGTAATATTTGAAGATGATTATTTAGTTACAGAAAATTTTCCCATAATATTATCAAGATATTAAATTTTATATAAAAATATAATATTTTATATAAATAATATGTATTATTTACAAACTGTGTATATTTATTACAATAAATGCAATTTTATGTTAAATTTCATTCAATGAAAAATATAAAAAAACAATTTTTATCTTAATGTATTATATTATTAGATGGATAACTCATCATATAAAAAGTCTTTTTTATTCCAGTCCAACTTTTTGAGCAAATAATTTATAATATTTTTCAACTTGTTTATTATGAGTCAGACCAACTGAAGCCAATAGTACCACATAGCCAAGCACAAATGTTAATAATTTATGTTGCTTGAACCATGCCAATAATCCTTTATTATCAGTACATCTAAAATATTAAATTATTTTTTTTATTTTTTATCATTTTTTTATTATAAAATATATTAGATAATATAACATATAATATATTAATATATTTAAAAATATATGCAAGTAATAAATATTGTATTTACCTTGTGGCATGAATTTGTTGACTGTAAATAAGAAGATAACGTACTCTTATTAATTCACTATTTGTTACCAAATAATATTTATTTGGAACTCTTCCACCTGTGGAATCTGTGACTAAATTTCTAGCATTATTTTCTGTAATATATTAATTATGATATAAATTATGATAAATATTTTATTTTAATATGAATTTACCTGAATCTCCAATTTTTACATCTGCATGATTAATTAGTTCACATAAAGCTATACAACTCATTTCACTTCCTAGTACACTACCTCCCCATCCATAGCCAACTGGACTGTACGGTAAACTTACACCTAATTCACTTGAAAGATATATTCCTTTACCAAACAATGACTTCTAAAAGATATTATTATAATTCATTATATTAAAACATTATTTAAGAATTATATATCATATTTTAAGAAGAATATTTTACCTTACACATACTCTGTTGTAAACCATAATGTACAATGGAATGAAAATTCTCTAACCGACTACCATGATAAGCATAAAAAGTTGAATGTCCTTCAGCAATTGTTTTCCATCTGTCTTCTGAAGTGGATTGTTTTGTACTTGTAACTTGGAATATTAAATTTGGTGCAACTACTGACATTTCTGAAGGTACTTTTCTCAATATTGAATCATACTATATTTCAAACATTTTTACAAAATATTTTAAAATTTTTACAAAATTTAATTGTAAAGCATGAATTAGAATAAAAAAAAAATTTAACAAAATTTATATAATTATTTATTACACATATATNATATATATATATATATATATATATATATATATAATGAAACTTACACTTTCTTTTTTAATACTTTTTATATAAGGGTCTCTTAAACGTACTAAAACCCAATGTAATAAGTCTATAGCTGTTCCATATCTTTCATATACATCTTGTTCTGATAATGCTTTAAATATTACAGCCAATGGAGGAATTATTTCTATTGCTCTCCTCTATAATTAAAATTCATTATTTAACAATTATTAATAAGTATTCAATCATTAATATGAAAATAATATAAATGATGAGATTTTTAAAAGTAATAATAAAAATAATAAAATATTTTAAATATTACCAGAGCTTCAATGTCTTTGCATTCATTTTTTATATACATTGATGGAAATGGTTTTAAGCAAGTATCGTAACGATATGTATTGCAAGCTGCTACAAATAAGGACCATTTTAAATCAGCTGCTCTTAGATCCTTTTCCAATAAATGCTTCAGACACTGAATCTTTTTTTCAACATCTTCCTGACTTGTAGAATCTAATCGAGTTGTATATAATACATCTAAATCTGATTCTTTAGAAATTCCTTGATCCAAATTTTTTCTTTCGTTCTCTTTTTCTTTCTCTTTATCATTATGAATATTTTGCTTTTTGTTTACATTATCCATTATTGGTAGATCAAATCTAATTCAAAATAATAATAAATAAATTATATCTTTTTAATTTTGCGATATAATTTTAATTAAAAATTTACTTACTCTGTATCAATTTTATTTAATTAATATAAGTTATTTTTATGCTTTTAATTTTATAATTAATAAAATATTAATAAGCTTAAAATTATAAATTAACATCGTATTTATAAAATATAATATTTATAAAATATTTTATATGTATTTATATAATATTTATAAAAACATATTGATATTTTAAATAAATATTTTTGTCATATAATTTTATTTGTATGTAGAATTATTTATTTCGAAATTATAAAATTATACATATTTCATGTATATTAAAATAAATTTCTCTAGTTCATTTCATTTATTATTTATTTAATAATTTGCCATTATTGTATATAAAACAAAAAATAAAGAATAAGAAAATAAAAAAGAATAAATAGAATTTATACGATAAATTAATTAAATCAATGTAAAATCTAATATCTTTTAAATATTATAAACTACATCACATAAAAAAAAATATTTTTTTTTGGAATAAAATAATTCTTATAAAACAGAGATACAACTTTAAAAAATTGAAATATAAAATAATTGATTTGGAAAATTTTCAATTTTTGTAGGAATATTTATATTTTTACAGTTTACTAATGTTTGAATTTTTATTCAGAACTATTTGAAACTATACATATATGTATTGCAATTTTATAATGAATTATTAAAATTTTTTAATAATAGTTATAATAATATTTTAATAATATTTTTAAAAATAATTAGTAATAAATATATTTTTTTTTATAATAAATTCTGTGTTTTTAAAAATATAAGATTGTAATAATTAATATATTATATATTTTAATATGTATATTTTTAAAAATATTCTTTTTTAATTTAACAGTACAGTGTTCACGTATAGTCATCAAATGTGTAACAAATAAATGACAAGTAAAGCATGAAATATTTATTTTTGTAATGAATCAAAAAAGTATATCTAAAAAATGTCAAATTTTTTTCAATGATTTGCAACGTACTTACAGTCCACGACAGGCATCTTTGAAATGAAAATTTTATACTTGTAATGAATGAAAAGGTAGCTAATTATTTAAAAACATATATAATCTTATTACAACGAATTTGTATTGAAATTATATGAACATTGTCCTGAAATTTCATGGTTCCAATCACAGATCACATCTGTTTCATTGCGTTCGTTTGTTACATCGATGCTTGTCTCTTTCGCGTTGTTTAATATTATTCTTCCTTCGTTTAATGAATTTTTAATAAAATAAATTACATAAAGTAAGATAAAAAAAAAATAAAATATGAAAGAATACAAATATATATGATTTATCAAAGAAATCACTATTTACATAAAAGAAATAATTTTTTTATTAATCATATATATTTTATTTATCATATATCTATTTATCATATATTTTGTGTATATACATATATATATATATATATATATATATATAAACAATGTCAAAAATTACACAAAATACTTTTTTAAACTAAAATAATTAATAATAATAATAATTTAATATATAATAAATATTTTCATTCGTTATAATTTAAATAATTTTAAAAGTTATAAATAAAAGTTATATTTCAAATATCTTGCGTATGTACGTTATGTGCCCACGTGGTATAATATCATATAGTGAAAAATAATGTGCGAATTTGCTTCTCCGATTATATTATTTATCCTTTCTTAGTAGATTATAATATTAATGACTTATGGAAATGACTTGAAATAATTTAATTTAAAAAGTAATTATTTAAAATAATAATTTATGGATTTTATTAATATTTACTTTTACCATTTTTCATTTTTATTATATATTATTTATTAATAAGTATAATATGTTATAGTTTCGATTTACAATAATGTTAATAATATATGTAAAAAAATACTTACTGAATAATTACTGAATATATATTTTCATGCAACCAAAAGTAATAGTTCAAATAATAATGTAAATTTTCACAAAATGTATATAAGTCCCTATAAATATATATTTTAGGGAAATTTATTAACATTATTGGCAAGCATGTAACTCAATGTCATGCTTCAAGGTAAACTATCGATGACGTCAGTGCACGTCATTTAACAAGTGGGAGTGGATGGATAGATGTCGGCAACCGTGGTGGCTCTCGCGAATAATCGCACACGAAATTCGCAACAGACGATACCGTATCGTCGCGATAATGTCGCGTGCCTCTTAGCGATGTAGTTTTCGCGGTGGAGAAACGAAGCGAAAAAAAAAGAAACAGAAAAAACGAAGGAAAAAGCTACATCGCCACACGTGTTTCCGCGGTAAATGGAAAAACACCGAAATCGGTTTGCGCATGCCCGGCCACCGATGACGTCACGAAAATTGTGCTTTTGATCAAACTCGCTCTCTCGCCGTTCCTTTTTTTTTTCACCGTGGATGTAATAATGTGGAAAGTGAAATAACTGCACGGAAAAGCTCTGTAGGAGCCGCGGAGAAGCCGGTGAAAATCGTAAGTAAATTTCACTCTCCTTTTATCGTTATAAAAGTCATTCGTTGACTTACAGTCTGTTAACATGGCCTTCACACACATGTACCCATACGCGTGCATGCACATATAATACATACATACATATACATATATATATATATATACACATATATATGTCATATATTCTCACACATATATAGGAAACGTTCATAATTTTCAGGAAAAAAAGCTTGCTCTGTAGTGATGTTTTAATATCGAGTGTTTTGAAGCACTCATCAGTGAATTTATGAACTAATATATAGTTGAATAATTTTGTCGAATGAAGAGTTTCTTACATTATAGAATATATCGATCTTGCTTCAAAGGAACGATTGAAAATGACAGGTTTTATTTTAATTAGAATATAATTTCTTGTTAAATTCTTTTTGTCAAATTCAAATTCATTCTTAAATAATTTTTGAACTTATGTGATTTTTTTCGTCAATTTTATTTCATTCGTGATGTTGATTTTTAAAAGATAATCTTATATGTTTTTAAAATAATTTTGAGAAAATTGTTTTTCGTTCAATACAAGTTAATTGACTTTTCAAAGTGTTCACAACTTCATATTAGAGTATTTAATAACAAAGTTCTTTCAATGAATATAAAAAACAACTTTTATGATCAATAAATATTCATAGATTATTTTCATAACAAATATACTATAATAATAGGATTATATTTTTATATAAGGTAATTATTTTTTTTAAAAAAGAATGTTTTTTAGAATTTTCATAAATGTTATAATTAATAATGTTCCCAAATCATGTAATTAATGACACAGAATTCATTTTTTAATTAATTATTAAAAAATATTGCTATTTTGATTAAAAAATTGAACATTTTTATTAATCTTTATATAAATTGATATATTGTATTACAATATTTATAATATACAATATTTGGATTGTATTACAATTAAAATTTAAATAACAATTCAAACTTGATATAAATTGATATAATTTTTTTCCATATTTATATTAAGAATTTTAATAACATGAAGAATTTAGTTATTCTTATATATGCTTTATAAATTTTTTTAACATACAAATAATTTATTATATATTATATATTATATTATATATTAATTTTAATTATATTTTATATTAATTTTAAAATGAAGCTTTATATCTCTGTAAAAATATTACTATAATAGATCATAAAAAATTGAAATATTGTTGTTACTATCTATAATAATTTTTAAATTTAATCATATATGATATAAAAATCTTGAATAATTTAATATTATTAAGCAAAAAAATAATAAGTTTTATATTTTATATTATTTTAAGTTTATATTTTATATTATTTTACATTGTTCAATATTTTTAATCATATGATTTATTAGTTTTTATAATTAAAATTTAATTTTTAATTTTATAATTAAAATCATATAATAAATAATAAGAATTTGAGAAAATAAATTTGACAAATTCATTTAAATTATTTATTTAATTTAAAATATTTATTTTTAAATATTTACAAAATATTTTTTTATTGAAAATTTTATAAATAACTGTGAGGTGCTGCCATCTACGAACTCAAATCTTAGTTGCATTTAGTTATATCGGTAAAGTAGAAAATGTGATAATTTTATGTTTTATTTATTATGCTAATGTTTTTACACTAAAATATATATATGCAAAAAAGATAATTAACGAAATATTTAATTTTAAAAATTATTAATTAATAATAAATTATATTTTTTTTCCATTGAAAATTATTATATTAATTTTTTTTATTTTTACAAATATCCTTTTTTTGCATTTTACATATGCTTATAAATATTGTAATTTTTTTGATATTTTGAAATATTTTTTCATAAAAATCCAAAGAAATAAAATTCAGTATTTTATTTAAAAATTATTTTTTCACCATCATTCTCTAAGAAGCGTATAATAATATCTCATTTATCATATCTTATTTTTTTAAAAAAGACCCTAATTAACTCTATAATTACTATTATAATTATTCTTACACTATAGTTATTCTTATATATAATTACATTATTTTTTTCCGGTATTTTGTATACCTTATATTATATATATTTAACTATTATTTTTTTTATAATATGTTATATAATAAATATATCTATTGCATTGTTAAATAATTTTATCGATAATTTTTCAAATAAAAATTTTTATGCTATTTATTATTTATTATTCTATATGATAATGTGTTGTGAGATAAAATTGTTTCTGAAACTTGAAAGCAATTAGTATATTTTAATGTGTTACAGTGTGAAAAATTTAAATTATTAAATATTTGATAAGTAAATCTTTCATTCGGTAAAGTAAAATGGGAATGAATGCATTGATCCGTTATAAATATTTTGGCTGATCAGATATAGATTTATCATGGAATCTCGTAAAACTTGAAGCTGCGTAATAATACGCGACTGGTTTGCTACAAAGAATTATACGACCTCGTGGTGCAAAGCGCGATACAATGTGGGTCCTCCAGTCTATGCAAATGGATGGAATTTGTATAACTTAACCGTTGACTTTATTTATTATTCTGAAATATGGATAAAGTTGTTTTATATTTTAAAATCAGTGTAAAACAAAAAAAAAAATCGATTAATCAAATTGAATTAGTTTATAATT